TGGCGGCCCAGGGCGTCGGGTTCGCCCCGCGCGCGCGCGGGCCGCGCGAGCTCCAGCACCGGCTGGCGCTGAAAAGGCTGCGGTGAGCAAGGGGGAAGATTGTCGCACTAATTTGCCGGCCCCCTTGTGGGGCCACCAGGCTGTAGGCCTGTGATTCGCAGTTTCCTGTACCAGTTGTAGTTTGTAGTTTCCAATGTTACAGTTCTGCTTCTTGCTGGTTACTGTAACTAGTTGATTGACCGCGCGAGGGGAGGGAGGCCCAAACCAGATTTTTAGCACCACCTGGGCGCGTTGTCTGAATTGCTGGGGGGGCTCAAAATCGACACCCCTCACGCAGATCCGCGGGGTCAGGGTCCAAAAACACAGGGGATTTGCCACATTTCTGAAATTCGGTGCCACCCCTCACGCAGATCCGCGGGGTCAGGGTCCAAAAACACATGGGATTTGCCACATTTCTGAAATTCGGTGCCACCCCTCACGCAGATCCGCGGGGTCAGGGTCCAACATGATGGACCCACGAACCCGGAAAGGGATATAGACATGTGGAGCATGGACACGTTTTCATGATACCCAACTGGGCAACACCTCACGAAACATCCCACGAGACACCTCACGAAACAGCCCACGAGACACCTCACGAAACATTCCACGAGACACCTCACGAAACATTTCACGAGACACCCCGCGAAACATTCCACGAGACACCCCACGAAACATTCCACGACGACAGGCAACCACTCAACCAAGGCGGTGTGGTCGTGCTGGGGAGTGGTCGTGCTGGGGTGTGGTCGTGCTGGGGGGTGGTCGTGCTGGGGGGTGGTCGTGCTGGGGGGGTGGTGCGTGGTCGTGCTGGGGCGTGGTCGTGCTGGGGCGTGGTCGTGCTGGGGCGTGGTCGTGCTGGGGCGTGGTCGTGCTGGGGTGTGGTCGTGCTGTGGTAAGGTCGTGCTGGGGTGCGGTCGTGCTGGGGTGTGGTCTTGCTGGGGTGGGGTCGTGCTGGGGTGGGGTCGTGCTGGGGTGTGGTCGTGCTGGGGTGTGGTCGTGCTGGGGTGGGGTCGTGCTGGGGTGGGGTCGTGCTGGGGTGTGGTCGTGCTGGGGTGTGGTCGTGCTGGGGTGTGGTCGTGGTCGTGCTGGGGTGTGGTCGTGCTGGGGTGTGGTCGTGCTGGGGGGTGGTCGTGCTGGGGGGTGGTCGTGCTGGGGGGGTGGTCGTGCTGGGGGTGGTCGTGCTGGGGCGTGGTCGTGCTGGGGCGTGGTCGTGCTGGGGCGTGGTCGTGCTGGGGTGTGGTCGTGGTGTGGTCGTGCTGGGGTGTCCGCACCCTGTGATTTATCGATCGGGTCGTGCTGGGGTGTGGTCGTGCTGGGGTGTGGTCGTGCTGGGGTGTGGTCGTGCTAGGGTCGTGCTGGGGTGGGGTCGTGCTGGGGTGTGGTCGTGCTGGGGTGTGGTCGTGCTGGGGTGTGGTCGTGCTGGGGCGTGGTCGTGCTGGGGTGGGGTCGTGCTGGGGTGTGGTCGTGCTGGGGTGTGGTCGTGCTGGGGTATGGTCGTGCTGGGGTGTGGTCGTGCTGGGGTGTGGTCGTGCTGGGGTGTGGTCGTGCGTGCGTGCGTGGGGTCTGGTCGTGCTGGGGTGTGGTCGTGCTGGGGTGGTCGTGCTAGGGTGGGGTCGTGCATTTCGCTCGAGACATCCTGCCAAAATTCCAGGAAATCGTACAAAAACAAACGAATTAGTCGAGACATCATCGAAATTCCTTCGCGCGGGGCGCTTTTCCGCGTCGCGGTCGGCTCTGCAAAACAAGCGTTTCGCTCGAGACATCCTCGGCAAACTCTGCGGAGCAAGCGTTTCGCTCGAGACATCCTCAACTCTGCAAAACCAGCGTTTCGCTCGAGACATCCTCAAGAAATTCTGAAAAACAAGCGTTTCGCTCGAGACATCCTCAAATTTTAATTCGCCGGCCTCCTTCGACCTCGTTATTTATCAGGGAAAAAATTCGCCGGCCTCCCTCAAGTTGGCACCGGGGGACAGGTTTACCTACTAAAAGAGAACCCTGGGCCCCCGCCCTTTCCGGGAAAAACACATGGGATTTGCCACATTTCTGGAATTCGGTGCCACCCCTCACGCAGATCCGCGGGGTCAGGGTCCAAAAACATGCCACATTTTTGAAATTCGGTGCCACCCCTCACGCAGACCCGCAGGGTCAGGGTCCAAAATCTCATGGGATTTGCCTCATTTCTGAAATTCGGTGCCACCCCTCACGCACATCCATCGCAAGGCGTGGTAACCCAAACTGCGAGTACTCCCTCGGCCCTTTAATCCCAAGGTGTGGTAACCAAGCTCGTAAACCATACACGTCTTACCAATCGCCCTGTGTGGTAACCCCTCTTGTGATCAGTTGGTTTTGCCGATTGCGAATCGGCCTCGCATGAAGTTCCGATACTGCTGCACGACAGCGCCAAAGCCTCATGACTTAGCTCTTCCATGGCCCATTCTCCGAGAGAGGGGGCCGGCGGCAGGGGGCGAAGCCCTTACGGATTAACGAGGACGATGGACTGTGCCGCTTACGAACCTTTCGCTGAAAACACTGTGCGATGCACATGTGTTGGTCTTGAACTCGCCTTCTGTTGGATTCAACCTTGGACGATCAAATGTGCCTATTTTGGGGGTGGGGAAAAAGGACGTACACGAGGGAGAGGACGATCGCGCAAAGCCATCACGTACACGATTGCCCTTTCGCCCAATCCAATCGGCAGCTTCCCTGCGTCGACACCTGTAGGTTTGAAACTGTCAGCGACTGACGAAGGAGAGGAGGAGGCAAATGAGGGGAAGAAGAAGAACAAGGGAACGGAAATACCGCGACTAACTCAACGGCACAATATGTGGCAAAATGCCTAACTCAGGGGCAAGATGCGGCCTGTCAAAGATTAGGCTGCACCTCGAAGCCAACCGACTCTGGCCCGCAAGTGGAAGCCGCCGGCCGACGAGGAAGAAGAGAGGAGCAGAAGGGCAGAGGAGCCGCGGAGGAGGCGGAGGAAGAGGGGGAGGAGGGGAGGGAGGAACACACCAGCAGGCAGGTATTAGATTCCGTACCCGGCTTTCCCCAGTCCGGCACAAAGGAAGCAGCGGCAATGCATGGGGGGAGGAGAAGGACGGGAGGAAGGAGAGCAGAAAGGAACAGCGCGCTGAGACTGCAATGCGCCCACCCTCGGCGGAGAAGAACGCAGCACGCTGAAGACGGTCCACCTGGATATGCCATGTTCGCAGGCGGCTGGCAAAGGAGGACTGCGGGCTCGCTGGCGCCTCCGCTGACAGGGAACGGTCGGCGAGACCGGGAGGCCCTCCACCAGCCACCTGCGCGTGCACCGGCGCGAACGCCAAGTCGGGGGGGTCGAGAACGCGACAGGCAGAGGAGGCGGAGAGCCGGCCCGCCCCAGCAGAGCTAGCCAGCGCTCCGCCTCCGGGAGGCAAGAGCGGCGCTCCAGGCCTGCCAAACTGTGACGCTGTCGGCCATGCGGCTGAGACAACAAACGGCCTCCTGGGGATCCCAAATCGACGGGCTGGCATCCCACAAATCAGCCCCACAAAAAGGACGACGCGAAGGAGAGAGGACACAGTCACTCGTGGACACAGGCAAATAACATGATGATTATGTACGCCCCGAGTGTAAACCTTTCACGATTGAAATCTGTGCCTCTCACGACCCTCTGGCCTAACACACAGAGGTTCCCCCCCGAGCCCTCTCCGGAGCAAAGGGGAGGTCCGAAATCCGCCCCCCCCCCGTCCGGCGCACAAAGGGGGGGTCCCAAACCCCCACCCCCCCTCTTTCAACAGGGGGGGGTCCGAACCCCCCCCCCCCTCCTAGGGAGGGGGGGAGGGTAGAGAGGAATACACTGGCGCTGTATCTGGTCTGGTCGCACGCCTCCTCCAGGGTGGCGGTGGCCAGGCTGGTGACATTGATACTCAGGCGGAACGTGTTGGCGCTCAGCTGCCAGAGGAATCGGAAGAGCGCCTTCTCCAAGTCCGCATGCACCGTGCGCAGGAGCATCTGGATGGCCTTCAGGCTGCCCTGGAGCCCTCGCAATGAGGAAGCGTACCTCGACGTCGGAGGTGGAAGTGCGGCCTTTGACGAAGTAGACTGCCTTCTGCAGCGCCTGACCCCGGAACTCCAGGACGTTCACCACCACCCTGTCCATCACGTCGCAGAAGAACTCCACGAGCCCCTCGCCCCAATGGCCGGGGTGCGCGGGAGCCGCCGCGGCGCCCGAAGCGCCAGCGGCGCCACTGACGCAAGCCGCGCCCGAGGCGCTGGTGGCGCCAACGGCACCAGCGAGGCGCCCGGCGCAAGCGGCGCAAGTGGCGCCAGCAACGGCGGGGCCCGCGGCGCCAACAGCGTGAACTCGAAGTCTGCCCAGTTGACGTTGCCGGAGGAGCCGAGAAGCCCTTCGCGCACGGCGAGTCCAGGGGCTCCGTCGCCATCGACGGAGCCGACGTACCTGCCGTGGATCGGATCGTGCTCCAACAGGTAGGCGAGGTACCCAGCGCAGGAGCACGCGCTCACGAGCGTCAGCTCCGTCTCCGGGTCATTCATATTGATGTGGGCCACCTGCAGGCATGGTGCCCAATGCGATCGAAGCCAGTGATGCCGACGCCGACCGCCTGCCTGGCCAGGCGGCGGATGAGCGACGACGGCTTTGGGCCAAGCACGGCTTCGACGCCGGCCATGAGAAGCAAAGGAAGAAAAAAAAGAAGTGGAAGTGAGAGTGGAGGATGGGGAATGGCCTCCTGAGCCAAGGCTTCAGCCTGAGGCTTGAGCCAAAATGGCTACGGGCACTCACACACACAATTATACACAAACATTGACGCCGGCGCGCCCGTCAGCGCTGCTGTTGCCAGCTGTCCTGTCCTCAAGCAAGGGAGTATGCACACATACGCACACACACACGCCCTGACGTGTGCGCGCATGAACGATGAAAAGAATGCGCTGGTCGAGCCACGCCCGTCTGAGGCGGTGACCTGCCGTTGCACGTCATCATAATACGGCTTCTCGCTCGGCAGTTCGTCGAAGCGGCAAGTAGGGCAAGTGTTATTCTTCTGGACCCAGCTGACGAGGCACTCGTCATGAAACCTCTGGCGGCGGCATGGGGGAGAGGAGAATGGAGGGTGTGAGGGGGAAGCGGGTGGGGAGGGGGACTAGAGGGGGATGGGATGAAAAAGGCATAAGATATGGAACACGTGCAGACAAACATTGATGGCCACGACGATAAAGAATAGACATGACAAGAACATAAGAAGACACGTGCAGGGTGACGAACATGACGAATAAGAGGAGGGACGGCTATCCCTCGGCAGTGGACTTCGGCAGCTTCGAAGGAACCGTGGCTAAGTGCACGCTCTCTCGAGCAGTGTGGATCAAAGTCCCGCGCACTCGACCCGCTGCAATCAACACACGGATATCACCGACGGGGATTCCGAGGCACACCCTACCTGGTGATCAGATCGGGGGCGGCGAATTACAAGGCAAGGACTGGGGGATGCACTTCCACTTGAAGTCACTGGGAGTCGCAGAATGATGGCGTCTGTGTGCTCTCCTACAATAACAAGTTAGTCTGGATCTACCAGCAGATGGCTTATCAGAGTGAGGGGGCCGAACGGTCTTACATTGTTCATGAGTGCGTGGCTGAAGTGGGCTTCTGCGGTGCAGGTTATCGTTCTTGTCGTCGTAGCCCCGCGACTCGCCCTGTGAACCACCCAACTCCCGCCCCGCAGCCCACACCATGACCCAACCGCGACCCCCGCGACTCCTGTAGGCCGAATTATTGCTGCGCTGCCTGGTTCCCAGACCTTCGACGTCATGATTGTTTCGCGACGTGGGCACTCAAAGATCTCGACCCTATCCCCTGGACTGACCTGCCGTCGCGCTCCTTCTGGTCCAAGCATATGAACACGGCCCGGTGGAAGAAACTGGGTGGAACACGCCGTCCTCATTCTGTAGCGGGGCCTGGCTCTCTGGGCTGGGCCTTCCGCTCCCAGTCTACATCAGTCACTGGACCCCTTGCCCATCCAGACATCAGCATGACGACATGGTCGTCAAGCTGCGTCCAGCCGTGGCCGCGAGGACACCCGTTCCAAGGCCAAGTCTGCCGCCGTCTCCTCCTCCTCCTCCTCCCGTGCTCCCCTTCCTCCCCCAGAATCGACCCCTGGACCTAGCTGAAGCGTGTACTGACCAGCCACTGCGACGAGAGATGGCCTGGAAAAACAACAAGACAAACATCAAATCAATCTCCCTATCCTCGTGCTTTCATCGCCCCCCACTTCTTATTATTATTCCTCCTTCTCCTTCCTCAGAAATCCAATGTCTGGATATTTCTAGAATGCGGGGTCCCCGCAAGTCTCCCCCCCTCCCAAGGGCTGGCTTTTCGGCATGGGTCCTCCTTGACAGGCCCAGAGCCCATGGAGAGCCCATGGCAAGTTGTTCGCCCCCATGGGCGAACAATTTGCCACAGTGTCCTTTCAATGCGGGAGACGCCTGGACTCTCCCTCCTTCCCCCCCCCCCACCACACAAAAAACGAACAGACCGGGGCCGTGCCGTGCCGGGCCGGGGCACTTGTGCCCGCACGGCATTGTCTTCGCCTTTGAGCCCACGGGCAGCACCTCCTGGCACACCACGCACAGCTCTTCCTCCGGGGGCGCGCGGGAGAGGGGGAGCTGGGAGAGGGACGGCCCAGCCCTCCTCTTTGTGCTGCTCCTCTTTCTCCTCTTCCTCCTCCTGCTCCTGCTCTTCCTCCGTCCTCCCTCATTCTATTTCCTCCTGCTCTCTCTCCTCCCCCTCCTCATCCTCTTCTGCGGCAGGGGCGAGGCCGTGAGGAATGCCTGGACAGGACGCGCCGTCCGCAAACCTCCTCGCTTCGCGACAACGTCGAACACCTGTTGTGATGTGCTTGCCTGTTAGTTTGCAGGCTTCCGTCTCCAAGGGTCCCGACCAGGCCCTGGGACGGTCGTCAGCAACAACTCGGGATGGAAGGCCTGCCCAGTGAAGGGATCGAGACATCCAGGGGCCCCGGTGGTGAAAAAACACAACGTCGGGGGTCTGGGGCGGAGGAGGAAGGTCGGCGGTGAGCCCGGGGGGAAGTGAGGGGGCGGGCCTTCTCAGAGGGCTCGGAAGTCCCCCAGACTTCTGAGAAGATCTCTAGGCCTCCTCCGAAGACGCGGAGAACTTCTCAGAAGGCGCGAGGGCTCCCGAGAAGTCCCGCCGCCTTCTGCGAGGGCCTTCCCCTCCTCGACTCCCCCCCCTCGCTCGCCGCCGAGGAGGAGGAGGAGGCCAGCTCCAGGAGGGCCCTGCGCATCCCCCTGCGCTGCCCTGCTCGGTGGCGCCCTCTTCGCCGAGGTCGTGCTCCACGTGCCGCCTCCCGCGAGGCACCGCTGCTTGCTGGGGCGGCCGTGCGCGGCCGCCGCCCGGCGGATCGCCCCTGCGGCCTGGCTCGGAAGAAGAAGAGGTGGGAGGGATAACCGTCTTGCCTGGACCACTTACAGGGCATCCCTGCTTGATGCCGCGCTCAAGCCTGAAAAAGTACTCGTCGCACCCACGGAAGCTAACAAAAACTCGCACCGCCTCCTAGGGTTGCCGAATAGCATGCAGAGATAATCCAGGAAAGACCATCATCGAGGAGTAGAAGGAGGGGGAAGTTTTGTCTCGGCTGCGCCGTTCGGACACGGGTGGGCCGCCGGCACTGGGCCCGCGGCGAGCGCGGCACACACCCCGCCTGGACAGAGCACGGGCTGATGTATAGCCACGGGTTCGGAGTGCCCTGGGTGGAGTGCTGGATGAAACTCCTCCTCCGACGGGCCGCATCGAGTAAGACAAGACAGGAGCACAAGCAAATACAAGACGACGGCGACAGAGTAGGATCATGTCCAAAGAAATGTCCATCTAGAACCCCGCTCTGCAGAAGAGCAGTCCTCAATCCGCCCAAAAATCCTCCCACATCAACTTTCTGGTCCAAATAAAAGGAATGGCTCATTCAAAAAAACCTGATTTAACAAGGAGCTGCCCTCAATCCGTGTAGCTGCTGCAAGGTTTGAATTCAGAACCGAAGCGCCTAGGAAATCTCAGACGAAGACACAGTGCTGAAGAGGATACGCCGCCAATCATCATGAATGTTGGGAACTCTTAGGACCAAACTGCGCGGCACTGACACTAGAACCACATGCAATACACTACCCCCCTCCTTCCGTGCAGCTGATCGAAGACTGTGAATGCGAATGTACGCGGCGATACGGCGAGAACACGAATGTGATGAGGGGTCGCCGTCAATACGTCGAACCGTTGGACCTGTAACGGCGAATGTGCGGGGCGCTCTGGCGAGAGCCACATTTTGAACATGAGCCGCAGTACACCCGTGTAGTGGAAATGTTAGCACAACTGTGCGCAAAACTACACACATTCCAACCACCCCCCTCCGTCCGTGTTGGGAGGTTGACAGACGAATCTGCCCAGCAGTGAGGCAAGGACCATATTGTAAACCCTACCCCACTTCATCCGTGTACCTGTCGGGAGGTTGAAATACGCATGTGCACAGTGCTGACGCCACACCAAGACTTAATTTGGAACCCCGGCGGTGGATCCCCAGCGCGAGGCTTCCCCAAGAACTGGCAGAGGGTGTCCGTCCTACTCCTCCCCCTGCCCATTTCCAGAAGAGGACCTCGCTCAGTCGCCACCACAACATAAATCGAGACGGCCGATTGTTCCACGCACTCGGCCTCCAGCGGCTACCTGTCTTCGGCTCCCACCCCGTCAGAGAAATCTCCCGTCAGAGAAACCTATCTTCGAGCGTGCGTGAACCGCCTGGGTCTGATCGCCGAGCCCTGCACGGCATGATCGGAAGCACGGAGCCAAGTGTGCTTCTTGCCAGGTAATGAGCAGGAGGAGCAGGAGGAGGAAGGAGGATGGAGGGAGGATGCAATTGGAGTCCCGAAACGGTGTGGTGACGCACCGTGCGGTGACCTCGAAATCCCCCAAGACCTCTCCGCACGGTCCGTCACCGCGCGGTCTTGGGACCTCGGAGGCCCCTGTCGCCGCGACGTCCTCGGAGAACGACCCGAGTCCCAAAACCGTGCGGTGACCCCGAATCCCCACCGACTCACCGCACGGTGTGGTCACCACCCCGTTGGGGGGCCCCCGAATGGAGGGAGGCAGGAGGAGCTGAGCCAGCCGCCCGACCGGAGGTGGTCCTCGACCACCGTGCAAAGTCTCAGCTCGTCCTGGGCGTCCCGGGACATGCCCGGCCGACTGTCGCTGGCGGGGAGCGGAAAAAGCAGTGGCGAGGGCGTGGCGACCCCAGTCTCTGCCCGGGTGGGGCTTTCGACTGGCCCCAGAACTCGGGTCCCAACTAAGGGACACACGAAAGAGGCGACGTCCATCCTCGATAGGGGTGCGTCGCCAGAGCCCTAGAAGGTCCATCCCCGAGTTTCCCTGAACTCTCTCTGCCAATTTGGGGTATGTACCCCCGGCCGCCGCGCAGAACTGGTGGAGTCGCCATGCCCATGCCCGGCCAGGGAGGAGGAGCAGGGCACGGGGTAGGGGCACACGGCTGCCGCCCTTTCCGCTCACCCGGGTGGACTCTACCAGGATCATCCCCTGGGCGGCCAACAGCTCCGCCTGGGGGCCCGCGCAGCCGCGTGGGTGCGGCCCCTTCCAGCCCCAGCCCTCCGTTCCTCTGGATACACAGCCCCTCCCCTCGCACTCCCCCTCCCCCTTCCACGTCCACCCCTCGCATCTCCAGATCCCCTTCCATCTCCCCAATCTCCCTCCCGCCCCCTGTCCATCCACCTCTTCTCACCAACCCCTCTCAGGATGCCACGAGCGAGTCTCGACACTCACCTTCTGTGCATTGGACCTCACTCTGCCGAAGAACCGAGCGTGCCTGCAGGGCCAGGGAGCACTGCTTGATGACAGCGGGTCCTGGCTCACAGGGATGGATAAACCACCAGAGCCTGCAAGACGCAGACGATCTCGTTGGCAAGCCCGTAAGGGCGGGAGGAGCACAGCGCCGAATCCAGAGCCGCACCTATGCTACACCTGCGGGAACGCGCTGAGCGAACCATTGGCACGACGTCCCAATATTTCGACAACGCTGGCAAGGGGCAGCTTGCCCGCGCCAACTCTACTCTTCAGAATGCACGTCTCGGCTGCCAGCGCAGTTGAGCAACACGAGCTGCGAAACCACAACCCACACCTGTCGACCTTGCCTTCGACGGACACGAAGAATATAATCGCACTTGGTCGCATAGTGGTACGTATACTAATGCCAGAACCTTCCTCAGCTCCAGCTCCATATGAGATGGAGCTGAGGAAGGCTCGGGCATTCGAAGCGCAAATGAAACAAAACGAAACACACCACAGATCAGGATCAGGAAACCGTCTCCCGCGAGAGAGAGAGAGGGGAACGAGAGAGCCAGAGAGAGCCAGAGAGAGAGAGAGAGAGCGGGAGAGAGAGGGAGAAAGAGAGAGAGAGAGAGAGAGAGAGCGGGAGAGAGCGCGAGAGAAATTAGGGAGAGGAGATTGAAAGAGACAGAGAGGGAGGAAGAGAGAGAGGAAGAGAAATATAGAGAGGGAGAAAGAACGCGCGAGAGAAAGAGAGAGAACAATGCCAGAGGACGCTCACAGATGTCGGTGAGGGTCAGTTTTCATGAAGACGGTTTGTTCCCAAACATCCTGTGGTGCTGGGACTTCGTTTGAAATACGCATCGCCCCGCGTTCCCTCCCGCACTCCTCATCCTCCCCCATTCCTCCCACCTCCTCTTTCTCACCCTCGTGTCCTCTGCCCTCCGCATGCCCATGCCGGCACACCACTCACACGTTTTGTGGCCACACAGGGAGCTCCACCGACCCCAGTGGCCGCGACCGCAGGCGTCTCCCCCATTCAGTACAACGTTTCGTGGCCCCATAAGGGGCCTCCACCGAGGGCCCCAGTGGCGCTCACCTAACACAACGCTTCGTGGCCCGATATGGAGCTCGTCTGAAGGCCCCAGTGGCCGCGGCAAGCATGCGTGACCCCCGCAAAATTACAACGTTCGTGGCCGCGCGCCCCCCCCGCCCAATACAGCGCTTCGTGGCCGCATCCGGGAGCTCCACCGAAGGCCCCAGTGGTCAGGGCCGCATGCGCCCCCTCCCCCCAGCACAGCGGTCCGTGGCCCCATCTGGGGGCTCCGCCGAAGGCCCCAGTGGCCGCGGCCGCGTGCGCCCCTCCCCCCCCCCCCTCCCGCCCAGCACAGCGCTCCGTGGCCCCATAGGGGGCTCCACATAGGACCGCAGGGGCCGCGACCTCATGCGCCCCCCCCACGCATTACGGCGCACCCTTCACGCGCTTCGTGGTCCCACAGGGAGCGCCACCAAAAGCGGCACCCACAACGCGGGACTCACAAATGCAGGCTCTTCGCCAAGCCACGTTTCTACATACCTCGTCCCGACACGCGGCTGCAATCGCTAGACTACGGGCCGATGAATTGACTATAGCCCTGCCAGCTTTGGCCTTTGCTGGGTCCGTCCGTCCAGGGACGGCATCGCGCCGGTCCCGCCTAGCCAGCGGCCAAATATCCAGACAGAAACCATCCTGTACAACCGGAGCAGACACGTCTCGTGTGCAGCTAAAGTCGGGGATGGACAGACCACCCTTTAGTAAAACGTGGTTTAGTGAAAACGACCTCGGGCCCAAACCTGGCGGGCGCAAGCTTGGAAAATGACGGCCGCGGCGCCCTCTGGAGAACCGAAAACGGACAATTCACTGATCGACGTGTCAGGGTAGGAGGTCTGTCCAACCCCGATAAAGAACACGGACAGAATGCGAGCAACACGTGGAAGAACCGCCAGATCCGCACTCGTTTCATGACCTTGGGATTGGCAAGGGACCAGGCGGGTGACGAAACACAGGGGAAATGGCACGAGTGGAGGAGGGGACTAGGTAGAGAGAAGCAAATGGGAGAAGCAAGTTCACAACCACCACTACTGGAAGAGCAAGTTTCGCTGTGTCCTGGAATGCAGCTGTGAAGGGCGTCCTGCGAAATTATTTAAAAAGGATTCATATACCACCGCTGGCCTCGACACTACCAGCCCCCATTCCAAGTGGAGGTGATGCTGGCGGTTCTGTCCCCGGGCGAGCTGATCTCTCCGCTCCTGCTTCAGCCCCCTCCCGCTGTGCCTCCGACAGCGGCGCTCGCCGCCTTCGTCGGACTCCCGCTGGCTTCTGCGGATCTTCTTTCGGCCTCCGCCGAGGGCGGGATGTCGGCCTTTCGGCCCCTCGACGAGGAGGCCACTGCCGGAAGCCCCCTTGAGTGTTCCCTCCACGGGGTGCCTCCTGGCTGGACCCAAATACCCTTTCCTCCGTCTCATTCACCCCCGTCCCCCCCAACTACACTATCATCCTCCACATCATTCCTCATGCTCCCTCCTGCCCCTCGTGTCCGCCCTAGCCTCCCCGCATCATCATTCCCCTTCTCCTCCCCCTCCTCACGGTTCTCCTCCTCGTCCTCCCTATTAGCTACTACCTCCACCCGATCCTTCGCTGCAGACCTCACCAGTTTTCATCAATCCCCCTGGTACTTCCCATCCATATTCCGCTGCCTCTCCTTTAACCATCGTCCTCATGCCTCCTCTGTGTTCCTGTCCTCACGTTTCTCCTCTTTTTCCTCCTTCTTCTTTGGCTTCGGGGGGGGTCTCCCATGTGAGCAACGCATGGCGGCTCTAGCAGTGAAAACCGCCAGTGAGGAGGCCCAAGCGGCCAGCCACCGATAGGATAATCAGAGTGAGGGGCCGAACTGTCATTCATTGTCCCTGGGTGCGTGGCTGAAGTGGGGATCCGTGGTGAAGATTATGATTGTTGTTGTTGTTGTTGTTGTTGTTGTTGTTGTTGTTGTTGTTGTTGTAATTGGTGTTGTTGTTGGTGTTGTTGTGTGTTGTTGTTGTTGGTGTTGTTGTTGATGTTGTTGTTGTTGTTGCTGCTGTTGTTGTTGTTGTTTGCTGTCGTCGTCCCACCCGCGACCCACCCGCGACCAACCCCGCGACCCACCGGCGACCCACCCCACGACCCACCCCGCGACCCACCCCGCGACCCACCCGCGACCCAACCGGGACCCACCCGCGACCCAACCCGCCACAAACCCGCGACCCACCAGCGACCCACCCCGCGACCCATCCGCGACCCACCCTGCGACCCACCCCGCGACCCACCTGCGACCCACCCGCGATCCACTCCGCGACCCACCCGCGACCCACCTGCGACCCACCCGCAACCCATCAACGACCCACCCGCGATCCACTCCGCGACCCACCCGCGACCCATTTTCGAACCACCCGTGACCTACCTACATTGGTTGAACTTAAATCGGCGACTGCAGCGGGTTCGTTTTATAATTTGTGAATGGTCGGCGCCTGCGGCGGGCATCTCCAGAGTCTCGCAAACTGCCAACGTCCCCACCAGCCCCTCACTCTTATCCGCATCTGCGGGGTAATTATGGTGTTCATTATTGTGGTGCTGTGCACTTCCCCTCGGCGGGAATTCCGTTCCGTTCCGCTTCGTTCCCTCATCCTCCCGCGTCGTCGTTCTCAACGCCTCCCTCTTCCTCCCGCTCCTTCTCCTCTCCCCTCCTCGTCCTCCTCCTTCTCCTCCCTCCTCGTAGTCCCTGCAGCGAGGGCGTAGGAAGTTATGTGTTCGGGCGGCGGGTGTCGAAACAGAGTGCGGGAGCGGGGCGCAGGCGGAAGACGAGGTGTTTCTCAGCCAATGGCAAAGTTCGGCCCCCATACACAGACCAAGCGGAACATGGAGAGGGAAGGGTGGGATGGGGGGAGAAGAAGGACTGGGGGGGGGGACGGGGAGGAGTCGAGGCGAAGGGGGAAGTGGAAGGATACGAGACGAGGTCGGGTGGAGGAGGAAGAGGAGGAGAACGAGGAGGCTCAGGATAATGACGAATAGGTGGAGGGGAAGAAGGGGCTGCAGGGGCTGAAGCGCACGGGCCAGAGGCTCCTCGCCAGGATTGGAGGGAGCGGAATTCGAGGAGAGGAGGAGGAGGGAGGGGAAAGGATGGGGGGGGGGCCTGGCCCAGGACGGGGAGTGGAGGAGGAAAGGAGGGAGAGGGGGCGAAGAGGGAGGGCGAGAGCGGCGAGCGCCTGCGTGATCGGAGTGTTGGCGTCGCTCCAGAAGCCCTTGTTGTGCCTCTTGTCTTCCTGCAGCTTTCGCAGCTTCGCCTGGTCTGGCTTGGACGAGGAGAAGCAGATTGGCGACGGGCCAAGGCGGTTGGAGCGAGGGTGGCATCCCAAGAAGCTTGGAGAAAAGATGCGGCGTCATCTATGCAGTGCGATGTATGCTGTTTTCTCACCTGTGTGGTGCAACATGTGCGGTGCAATCTACGCGGTACTATCTATGCGAGGCGTTGACACGGCGGCGACGGAGGCGACGGGGCGGCGGCAGTGGCGGTATAGCCGCCAGACCCGCCGTCAGGCCCTGACGACGGGCGGCGACGAGGCGGCGACTGCGTCGACATAGCCGCCAAACTGGCCGTCAGGCCCAGTTCCTCAAACAAGAAATAAAAACTTCGAAGTGGAAGCGCTGTTCGGAATACACACATGTGTGCGTGCACATGCATGCGCTGTCCCTGTGTAAAGTCGAACGAAGACATCGAAGTACACACACGCATGTGCATACACAGGTCTGAATGAGCGTTGGACGATCCATGTCCCTTGTCCTCCTCCCTATGCTCCGCCACCTCCTCCACGCCCTCGTCACTCTTTCGGGGGCGACGAATCGGTCGTATAGCCCAGGGGCGAGCATTACACAAATTCGCCGAGGGGCCCCGCCAAAGACACGATGTATCTTCCTCCCCTGGGCTGTTCGCCCCCATCGCCGCCTCCGACTTTTCCCCAGAGCGAGCGCCGCATCGTGGTCGTGGTCGTGGTCGTGGTCGTGGTCGGGGTCGTGGTCGTGGTCGTGGTCGTGGTCGTCGTCGTCGTCGTCGCGTTCGGGTCTCTCGCGCTGGGGCTCTCGCGTGCCAGCCAGCGACCACGACCAAGGCCAGGCTCGAGCAGCTGCGGGCAGAAGCGCCCAGCGGAGGGCAAGACGAGCAGCAGGGCACGCGCGAGGTGAAGCCCGCCCGCCTCCACGCGACGCGGGGAGGCGGGCCGCGCCTCCCCGGTCTTGTCTTGTGGATGCCATCACAATGGGCACTCGAACAATCCGACCATCGAATTAAAGATGTGTTTCACGTGTGTAAACATGATCCAAACATGTTGTCTTGCAGATTTACAACATGTTTGAACCGTCTTCTAGACATCTGGAAAGTCTTTGGCAGCATGCTTCCTCTCCATTGATCGTCCTCCACAAGTCTTGTGCGCAGCCCGGATTCGGCAGCCTCCTGACTTGTCTTCGAGTGGCCCTCGAATGCCTTTGCAGGCCACTCCATACCCAGAGACAAAGCAGGCACCTCCAGCGCCTCCCTGGCGAAACTGCCCGGAAGCCCCCCGCTTGGGATTCCTTCTCTCGGGGCCCCCCAGTGGGGACTCCTCATCATGGGCCTCCGACTCGGGCTTCCGTCTCAGGGGGCCCTCCAGCTGGTCATCCTTAGCATTGGCCCCCAACTTGCGATTCCGTTTCATGGGCCCCGCAATGGGGACTCATTCTCCTGGGCCTTTCAATCTGGATTTCTGCTCGTGGGCCACGCCGTTGGGATTCTGTCTCATGGGACTCCCTCTTAGGAGTCCCTCCCGTGTTGCTCCAAATGGTATCCCTCCGCACGGGAAACAGCCGAAATGCACCCGCGCGATAGTCACGCGAACGTGCGCGTGCCCACTGAAGCAGCGAGGCGCCACCCGAGTCGCAGGGCAAGACTCCCGCGCGCCGCGGGGCGAGACCCTCTTGCCCACGCGCGCGTGCCCTGTCTGGCAGCGACCGCCAGGTCACAGAGCGAGACCCACGCAGATGCGGCGCAGCGGCGCCTCCCTCCGCTGAAGGACGGCTGCGCGGGGGCAGAGGCGGAAAAGCATGCGTCCCCCTGCGGTGTCAGGCGAGGCGGGTTAATGGGGAGGCTGGAGCCCGAGCGGCACGAGCGCGCACCCCCCGACGGTCTTCCTGGGGGGCGGGGTGCAGGCGCGCGGTCTCGGGCAGATCCCCACCTCCTCGTCCCAGCCCGCTCCAGGAGAGGAAACGCCTCTTCGGGGATGGACAGACCTCCCTTTAGTAAAACGTGGTTTAGTGAAAACGACCTGAGGCCCAAACCTGGGCCAAACCTGGTGGTTTAGTGAAAACGACCTCTGTCCACCCCCGACCTCTCCCCTTCCCCCCCCCGCCACGTGCCTTCCCCTCCTCCGGAGCCAGGGGGGCCCCTGATGGTCGGAGAGTCCCACGAGCACGGCCATCCCCCCCCCCCCCCGGGGGCCCGGGGGGCGGTCGGCCCTGAGGGGGGGGTGGTCAAACCAAGAGCCTATAGCGACTACTGGGGTGGTCGCCTCAGGAATCTCGCCGGCTGGTAACGCTAGGCTTGTGGGTGCCACGGCAATGGACACCCTAACCGTCCGATCATTGAGTTTCGAATATGTCTAAAATGTCGGCACATGCTAGGCACATGTTTTGAATATGTTATTCACATGCTTAAAGCATGTTTGACACATGTTTTAGACATCTAGAGATGATTTGGCAGCATGCTTCCTCTCCGTTGATCGTCCTCCACAGCGCTAGGCAAAATGTCCTCCTCCTCCTCCTCCCCTGCCAGCCCTGCCCCCTGGGCGCCGTCAGCGCTCGACGCTCGATGCCAGGCCAGAGGCTTACTTCGCACCAGGGGGAGGTGCCAACCTCCTGTTCGAAGCCTCGTCCGCCCCCCTTCGCAGTCCGCCTCCCTGTGCCACGGGCGGCTTGGTAGAGGCGGTGGCAGGGCAAAAAACAGTGCGTGGTGTGGATGTTGGACGTTCAGTCCCTGGAGCGCGAACGTTTTGTCTCGCGTCCTAAGGGGGCAAGTGACACCAAGCGCGATTGCCTTCGCGCTCCGCGCAAGAGAGGTCACGGTGGTCCTGGCCAGTCGTAGTTGTGAGACGAACGGACTGGGCTGTCGATTTGTGAGACGAGACATAGTCCGATAGCCATCCTGTAGTTTGGTCGTTCCGGTTGGGGGCGTGCGCGGGGGCGGATGAGCGCGATTGGACCATGCTGCTGGCGGCGGGATGAGGCTGAGGCCAGTTGGCGGTGCAAGAGAGGAGGCGGGGCGGACATCAGATGGAAAGAAAACGGAAACAGGAGGAGAAGGTCGAACTCGGGTGGCCGCCGGCAGAATGAGCCTGTGGGATCGGTCACTGGGCGAGGGCGGTAGCCGCAGCGACATGTCACTAGGCATGCGCGGTGTGACATCGTCCCGTCGTCTGAATCGTCTGGCGGCGCGATGGCACTCCCGATCCCTACGGCAGAGGCACGGGTAAGCGAGGAGGATGAGGGGGGACCCCAGGAAACGGCCGCCGAGACGGAGGAGTGGAAGGACAGAAGGGGGCGATCGTTGAGGGGCAAGGCGGACGCTGGACAGCAAAAGCGAGGTGGACCCCATTGCTGCGATGCACCGCACTGGCTGTTGCCGAAAATGCATGTGGTGCGGAGCAAGGGGGACGATAGCTTGATGGAACGGGTGGGGGGACCAAGCTGAGGCCAGCAAAAACCTGAAAAGGTTCACGCCAGGTTAGCTCGGGCAAATCGTCAGGGTCTTAGGGGCACGGGGGGTGGAGCTGGAGCTGGGCCGTAAACGGCGCAACGCCTGTATGATACACAGCCTGGCGTCTTCAGGGGTGGCTCGCTGGCTTGCCCTAGGGCTTGCGGCGACATGGCTGTGACAGATCATGAGACGACATGGTGGCCACACTGCTGACGGCGACGCGAGGCTGGGGCCAGTCGGTGCCATGGGGTTGACACACGTCCTGAGGATCATCGATCGTGCAATACCCCCCCCCCTGCCCGGTCCCCGCTCCATCTGCCCGACCCGCCTCTCCCCCCTCCCCGAACCCTCAAATTAGGCCTGGCCGAGATCGGCGCGCTCCCCTCCTAAGACGTCGGCCCCCGTGCCTCCGACGACCCGGCATTTGCAAGCCTCGGCCCCTCCCCCCCCGAACCTCCACGACTCCCGCGACAGTGCTGCGCAAAGAGGGCGTCGAGACCCCAAGAAGAAACCTCTGCAATCAGCCCGTATCAGAAGGGTGCGCGGTAAGTGTGCAAGGGTCCTTGAGGCCCATGTTGACGTTCTTCGAGCGAGGTCGGCCAGCGGAAGAGGCCAAGGATGGGCCGAAGGGGCGAGGATGCAAGGCTGCCGATCCTTCCTTTGCGGGTTGACTGCGTTGGTTCGGGCTTAGCAGCCTAGCCCAAGTGGTCAGAGGACTGGGAGGCGGTGCTGAGGGAGGTGAAGGGCAGCTGTCACCGACCACGACCAGGGGGAAAGGCTGCGTTGCCCACAGGGGTGCGAACTTAACCTGTTGTTTGTCAGAATTTCTCGCGCTGGCAGGGCGGGCGGTGCGTCGCTGCACCGCCGGCGCATCGCCCCCAGAATCACGGCTTCGCCTTCGCGACAGGACTGCGGACGGTTGGCACGCTGAACGCCCGAGTGAATTTTCACGACGAAGCCAGGCCGAGGACACGCACCTTCGCTTTACCCCGCGCGTGGCCCCTCGCATCCACAAAAAAGACGCGCGCCGACCCAGGCCGCGGGGGGCTCCGCGAGCCGAGCCAGCGCCAGGGGAGACCGGAGGGTGCAGCAGAGCGCCCGCCTGCAGAAATGCCCTGCCCCCCCGCACCATGCCCGCTTGCAGGAGCTGGCCGCGGGGCCTCCGACGACGCGAGCTCGAGGGGGTCGGAGCAGATGGGGTCGGAAGATCGCGAGGCATCGCCGATACATCGGCGATGCATCGGCGACGTATCGGCAATGCGCCGGCGTTGCAACGTCGACATCGGCGGTGCAACGGCGACGTCGACGTGGAGCGAGTCGGGCTCCATATCGAGCCGCATCGCCGATGCATCGGCCATGCGGCGCGATCCTCCGACCCCCTCTGCTCCGACCCCATCTAGGAGGCCTAGAAGAACGCACGTGACACCCCGCGCTTGGGCGGCATGGTCGCGCGCGAGCTAGCTGCCGGGCTGGCGGCGGCTGGCAGGACGCTGACCTTGATCCGATCCCCGTACGGGAAGGAGGCGCCCCGACGCCGCTTCCTGTGAGCATCGAGCGACCCGCCTCGCGGGTCGCGCACTCTGAGCCCACTACGGAAACCACGAAGACGCCACCACGATGGTGCCCACTACCGCTTCGGCCTAGCAGCATCAAGGAAAAGCAACGCCCCGGAGGGCACTCAGATGACGCCGACAGCATCTTCCCCGACAGGGCGGGCGGACAGTGGTCCCACAGGAGCAACTACTGGGCACCACAATGGTCACAGGCACCAGATTAGTTGTCCCAGGGGGGCAAATAGTGGCCACACCAAAAAACGACATGCGCACATAGATGCAGCAACGGTCCTGGTAGGTGCACCGCCACTCCGACGCATGCGCAGGCGAATGGTAAATGGGGATCCTTCCTCCTCTTCCTCCTCCGCCTCCTCCTTTTCCTCCTCCTCCTCCCTCCTCCTCCCGCCTCTTCCTCCTTCCTCCCCCCCTCCCCCTCCTCCTCCTCCTCCTCCTCCTCCCCCCCCTCCTCCCTCCTCCTCCCGTGCGAAGCCGACAGCCGTTGACTTGCTGGCACCGTACCGTGCGCGACGGGCGTCCGAACACGCATAGGGGGCCGCACGTAGGACGGCGTGCGTGAAAGGGCGTGCGAACGCGTGCGCAAGAGACCCGCAACTTGGCACACGTGGCGCGTCAGCGTGTGGGTGGGCTTGGTATATGGCATCCCCAGGTAGAGGAAAAAAAACTATGCACATACACCGATTCTGGCCAGGCCCATCCTGAGCCCAGGATCGGTGCATACGCCCTCCTACCTTGGCCAGGAAGGCATATGCACCGATCCTGGGTCAAGGATGGGCCTTGCCAGGAGCGGTGCATGTGCATAGTTCTCTTCGCCCGACCAGGGCCCTCGATGCACATTGCAATGACGGGTGTTCAACAGGGGGAAGGCCTTTTTTTGTGGTCCTGCCACGGAGGGTCAGTGACAACAGGAGGAGCTGGCAGAGAGGTGGGGAGGCGTGGCAGATGTAGGTATACGCGGCTGGGTAAGGCGATTCGCCCCAACCCACGGTCGGTACTCTCACCAGTTGCTGATTGGACGGGGTAGCGGCTGAATTGCCACTTGAGTAGCCACTCGATCGATGTCCCGAGTGATCATGGGCAGCCCTCGCACGAGGGACGTTCTGAACTGTCGTGCAAGGCGTTCGCCGTCTTCGCGAAGGGACTGCGTAGCAACGACGATATGTTCCTCGGGGGCTGGCAGGGAGGACCCACCAGCAGCAACAAGGCCTGGCACGCTCTCGTGAGCAGCGGGGCCTGGCACGCACCCCTGAGCAGGAGGGCCTGGCCCACACTCGTCAGCTGCGCTGCTGGCGTCGTCCATGTCGGCCTTGAAATCGACGGATACGCGGGCCTTCATGACGCCGATGTGGACGTCGCGCTCTGGGCAGGCGGCATAACTGGTTGATGGCCTCCTGGGCGGGGTCTGGGGCGTCAAAGCGGACAGTGCAGTAGCCCAGGGAGTTCGGCATGGTGGATGGCCCCCTGGGCGGACTGGGGGGCGTCGAAGATGACAGTGCCGTAGCCAAGGGACTGGCCGTCCAGGTTGATGGCGACCTGGGTGGCCTGGATGTGCCCGAAAGAGGCTGAAGGTGTCGTTCAAGGCATCCTCCTTGGTGATCGGCGGCAGGTTCTCGGCTGGGATAATGCTGCAGTCATCGGCAGTCCTCGTCGTCCAAATGGTCTCTGCCCCCGCGGGTGCCCGCGGAGGCGGGGGAGGATGGAATGGCAGTCCTGCCAGTCGCCGGCTCCTCCCCCCCCCCCCGACTGGAGGGGGAGCGGCCGCGCGGCGAGGGGCGGTGACGCATCGGCCCCGCCCTTCCGCACCTCCCCTCTGAGGTTTTCGTCGGTGTCGTCGGTGGCAGGGTACGCGAAGGCGTGGGCGCGGGCCTGGGCGTCCTCGATGTCCTTCGAACGGCGCCTCCGGTCGTGGTGGATGGTGGACTCGACGCTCTGCTACAGCTGATCTCCGCTCGGGCGCGCGACCGTGGGGATGGACGGCGGGAGGACGCATGTGCCGCCGTCGTCCTCAAACTCCTTCCGGCAGCCGCGCTGATTATCCCAGTGGCTGGGCGGCATAACTGGGCAGACCATGTCGATCGGGGACGGGGCGAATTCGGCCGCCTCCGGCTTGAGGTGCGGCTTCCTATCGGTGCGTTGCTGACCTCGAGCTGGTCGCAGGAGCTGGTATTGATGTGTGGGTCGGTGCGCTCATTGGCGATGATCCTGAGTTTCGCCCTGGTGGTGTCACGGTGCTCTTTCTTGGAGCCTGCCGCGCTGACACGGGTGGCGATGTCCCGTACCCTGGGTCGTCTCCGTTTCGGGTTGAGTAGCCTAGTCTTGTGGATGCCATGACAATGGACACTCTGACAATCCGATCATTGAATTAAACATGTGTTTACAGTGTGTAAGAGCATGCTCTAAACATGTTTCAAACCTGTCTTTACATGTTGAAAACATGTTTGGCACATGCTTTAGACATCTGGAAATCATTTGGCAGCCTGCTTCCCCTCCATCAATCGACTTCCACAAGCCTGGTCGGTTGACTGCTTTGGTGAAACTTGGAGCCTCGCCGTCTCGAGGCCTCGCCACCAGGGTTGGGCCCGTGAGCTTATCGTTCGTGATGGCGCGGCGGCGGAAGTTGAAGGGCCCTGGGACACACAAATGAATGCGCACAAATAATAGGATTCCCCCTTATTTTCGCATATTTTATGGGTTTCTGTCTTCCCGCCCACGGCCATATTTTCCCATATTTTCTTGGGGGATCGACGATGCATTGTGTCTGTGTTTTTTCCCCTCCTGGAAGGTGTCCTTGGCCGTGGGCCCCGCGACCGCCGTGGCGCGGCAAGCGCCGCGCCTGGCGATCGCCCGCTGCGCGGGCCCGGGCGGGGGGCTCCACGCCGACAAGTTGGACAGCGGCTCTCCTCTCCTCCTCTCCTCCCCCCTCCCCCTCCCCCTCCCCCTCCCCCTCCCCCTCCCCCTCCCCCTCCTCCCTTCCTCCTCTTCCTCCCTCCTCCTCCTCCTCCTCCTCCTCCTCCTCCTCCTCCTCCTCCTCCTCCACCTCCTCCTCCTCCTCCTCCTCCCTCCCTCCTCCCTCCTCCCTCCTCCCCCTCCCTCCTCCTCTCCTCCTCCTCCTCCTCCTCCTCCTCCTCCTCCTCCTCCTCCTCCTCCTCCTCCTCCCCGTCCTTCTCCTTCTTGCTCCTTCCTCGGCTCCCCCCCAAGACTTCTCCCAGACCGCATCGACCATCGAGGGTCCTGGGCCAGGAACGATGCAGAAGCGCACGTCCCCGTCCACTCCCCGCGCGCTCGCGCGCGTCGTCCGGCCAGCGTCCCCCAGCACAAACCCATCCGATAGTGACGATCCGCCAAATTTGATCGTGCATGCGCGATGTGTTGCCGTAGTGTTTCAGGCCCTCCAACTCGACGGAGCAAGGTCCCTATTTTCGCTTTTCGACCAGACTTCTCGTCCCCAGAAACTCCGGCACGAACAAAGGCCTCGAGTTCAGGACCAACCGTAGAAACGTCCGAACGCACACACGGAAACCGCGTAAGCATCTTCCGACTACCTGTGAAGAACTGCCTCTCCTCCCTGACGTTCCCTCTCTCTCCCCCGCACAACGCTCGCCTCAGAATCGGCCCCGAGACATCTCGTGGAGCGCGTTCTGACGAGAATCCCGAGGAGGATTCAACCGTGGCGACCAGCCCCCCACAGCCCCAGAGCTTCTCGAGGTCAAAAGGAGAGACGCGTTCCTCCCCCAAGCTCCTCTTCCTCCTCCTCCTCCTCCTCCTCCTCCACCACCTCCACCTCTCAACTTCGCCCTGCTCCTGCTGTGCCTCCTGCTCTGCCTTCCTCTCCGCTGCCTCCTCCTCCTCCTCCGCCTCCTCCTCGACCCCGCTTCCTCATGAGTTTCTCACCCCTGCCGCGCCCCTAGAGTGCCAGTAGGCCGGGCTGGGCGCTTCGCCTGCAACATCCCCACCGCTTGTGACCCTAACTTTCATTCACGGGCAGAGGGCGGGTCTTTTCACGAATGTGGTCTTCGCCGGAGTGCCGCGCACGTGTGTCTGAAAAAACTGCAACAGCTTCTCGGATGCGGAACCATTTCGGAATGTGGTTATCGCCTGAGTGCCGCGCACATGTGTTCAAAACGTTTGAAGCAGCTTCACGGATGGAGGGCGGATCCATTTCAAGCTGTGGTTCTCGCCTCCGCGCCGCGCACATTCGTTTAAAGATGTTCGCAAAGCCTTCAAGGATGGTGGGCGGGCCGTTCCCACATTGTGCTTCGTGCCCTAAAGCTGCGGGCATTCGTCCCGAAGGTTTGCAAGCATATTGAAACACATTGAAGGAAGGAGGGCGGGTCCTGTTTAAATTGTGGCTCTCGATTTCGCGCCGCGCGAAATTGTTGTAGAAGTCGATGACATGTTCCAGGGCTCATGATATGGCTAGAACCCCAGAAGGGGTGTCCTGGCACGATTTACGTAGGTTTGCCAGCATGCAACAGTCACGTTGATTCGCGGTGATGAAATCTCAGTAATTGCATCCTGGCACCATCTCGGGTTGTCAGGACGCAACGACCGAGCTGATTCGCGGCGCTGTAGTCCCAGGAATCGCGTTCTTGTGCATTTTCGGATTCCCTGGCGCTTTTTCTCACGGTGGCACTTCGCGCACTGAAAACAACGCCTTGCATCCTTGGTGCGCCGTGCGTTTGCACTCGTCCTCTCATATTGCGTCATGGCCATGACGCGTGTTCCCGTGAGCGCGTGCTCCCGTGAGCGCGCGCCATGGCCCGTCCCATCATATTGCGCCTCCTCCTCCTCCTAAGGCTCTGGCTCCTCCTCCTGCCCCTCCTGCTCCTCCTCCTCCTCCTCCTCCTCCTCCTCATCCTCCTCCTCCTCCTCTTCCTCTTCCTCCTCCCCTTCGCTCATCCCTCCTGTCCTTCATCCCCTCTTCGCATCGCGATGGGGCCGATTCCGATTCTGATTCCCCCCCTTCCTCCCCACATCCACCATCCTGTCCATCCTCCTTTCCTCACCCCCTCCCCTCTCGGCTCTCGGCCTCCCCCCCCCCGTACGTAGAACTCGTCTTTCTCTCCCCTCCTCCTCTTCCTCCTCCTCCTCCTCTCTCCTCCTCCTCCTCCTCCTCCTCCTCTCCTCCTCCTTCTCCTCCTCCTCCTTCCCCTTCTCCCTGCCTCCCCCTCCCTCTCTCCGCCTTGACTCATCCCACCTCCTCCGCATCACTCCCTCCATCTTCCAACCCTCCCTCGTCACCTCTCCCTCGTCCCTCCTCCTCCTCCTGCTTCGCGTCCTCGTCCTCCTCCCCGCCAAGCCCCCTCTCTGTTCTCTCCTGCCGTCCCCCTCCTCTCTCTCTTCCTGCGTTCCGTCTCCACATCCACTCCCTCGCGTTCGCCTGCTCCCGCGCGCGCTCCCGCGCGTCGTCGTCCACCTCCTCTATGGCCGCGTCGCGCCACTTGGCCACGTCATCCGGGGAGGGCGCGTGCGCCTCCTGCGCAGAGAGAAAAAAAACAGGAGTCCCCCCCCGAGCAAGAAGCAGTGCTGGCGATAACCTGAGCAACGCCAAGACAGGCTCCTGCAGATCTGTGCGCAAGCTGCCTGTAAGCCTACCAGAGGTCGTCCATTCGCAGCCTACCTTGCAGGCCTACGAAGCGTTTATGGGTAGCCTGTAGGTGGGCCCTTAGTAGGCCTATGAGCGGGCTGTTTGTTGGCCTACAGTCGCAGGCGAAGGGCCTCACCACACATAGGGTAACTATAGGCCGATGCGTAGCCTACCAGTAGGCTTACGACAGGCCTACGCATAGCCTGCCCATCGGCTTACTGTATTTCTATTGGCGGCCTTTCACAGGGCCTACTGGCCCATGCGTCGTAGTGTCTACCATAGCCTACGCGCAGGCCTACAATCAGTCTACGCGCAATCTTTGAACAGGCACCGCAACTGGCCGATGCACAGCCTGAGCATCGACCTACTACAGGCCGGTGCACCGACTGTGCAGAGATTCACAGTAGGCCTCTAGTAAGCTTCCAGGGAGGGCGGCGCCTCGCCATGGGCCTACGCACAGCCTGCGCATAGGCCTACAATATGCCTGCGCATACGCTGCGCACAGACCTGTGGTAGGACTCTGTTGGGCCTTTAGGGAGACTGGCGCTCCGGGATAGGCCTATACGCAGCCTGCGCCTAGTTATAACAGCCTGCGCATAAGCTACGCGCAGGCTTGTCTGCGGGGTAAAGCTGTTCCCCTCACCCTCCGCCGCAACGGCCTGGCCTGCGGATGAATGCTAGCAGCCACCTCTTCCTCTAGGCAACGGCCTGCAGGTCAATGCCGCCTATCTCGCCGCTGCCAGTTCCTGATCTGGGGGGGCGGGGGTTGTATTGAGCCAGCTCGCCGGTGGCGCTTGCGAGCCAGGCGGCGCTGAAGCTAGGGGCGGCCCCTGGTTGCAGGCTGTTGCGGCGGAGGCAGGGCCCAGCGAGGGTCCAGCGACATGCGGTCCGCTCGTGGGCCAGCGTGGCGGTGTTGCCGAACATCCGCGAGCCGTGGCGCGTGTCTCTGCCGAGCAGATGGTAAAGCACGACACCAGGCAGTTGCCCGTCCCCAAAGCCCTCTTTGCAGAGGCAGTGGTCCGTGGACCTTCGGTGGTATGGTGCGCGGCACGCGTTGCCGTCAATATTTCTGCAAATATGTTCGGGGCTGCCCCAGGCCCAGGCGAGGCTTCCGCAAATAAGATGGGCACTCTGCGCTGGCGCGCCGAGCGACCTCGAACACTTGATGGTGCAATGCCCCAGAGGCTGGAAGTTCCCAGAAGCGGTGTGCGCTGAGGTCCCCCGGGGCTGGACACCCTGGCAGCCTGGGTGCCACGCGACGAGGACGCTCTCGAAGAACTCGGCGAGCTCGCCGCGAAGGTGCGCGGTCCGCTACCCAGTGGCTCCCCACCGCCGCCCCGGTCCACGCGCGCAGGGGCGCGGGACGGGCGGCGCGACCACGGCAGGGCGGCATCGGCCAAACAGCGGTCGCTGCTCCGGGCCGCGTGCCCCTGCCTGGCCCGCGGGGTCCCCTCCCCACCATGGCGGGCCTGGCCTGCGGGCCGCTCCCTGGCCTGCTGGCCACTGCCCAGCCTGCGGGCCACTGCACGTTTGCAGCGCCCACCCACAGGTCACTCACCTGGCCCCTTTCCCCCCTGGTCCATTCCGGGCTGCGGCCTGGTCTCCAGGGCCGTGGCCTGCGGGACAGCGCCCCCGCCCAAGAGGAGATGGCCGGTAGGCCCAGCGGGCTGCTGGCGCACGCGCGGGGCGGCTTCCGCACCGCGGGGAAGAAAAGTCTAGGCATGGCGTATAGATCATGCCCTCGCGTCCTCGCTCCTGCGCCTCCCGATCGCATGAGGGGGAGGACAGACATGGAGGAAGGAAGCGATGATAACTTAATGCGGTTTGCCGCTTCCTGCCCCAAGGCGGCCCTCGTCGCCACAGCTGGATCCGCCACGGAATGTCGAAACACGCAGCCGGAAGGGAAGGAGAGAGGAGAGAGCTCTCGGTGATTATGTATCGGGCGCATCTGGAGGCTTCTGATCTGGAGGCTTCTGGAGACTAGCCACACCATGCCTTCTGCGGATGCACTGGATGGGAGGAGAAACGTACGTGAGAGAAGGAGAAGGTGGGTCATCGTTGCCTCTGCCTCATCATCATCGCCGTCATCACCATCAACACAAACATCCCGATCCACCGACACCAACGCCACAACCATCATCATCATCATCATCATCATCATCATCATCATCATCATCATCATCATCACCATCATCATCATCATCATCATCATCAACATCATCAACATCATCATGCAATCTGCGAAGGCACTGGATGAGAGGAGAAACGTACGTGAGAGAAGAGAGAAGGAGACGGTGGGTCATCTTTGCCTCCACCTCATCATTATCGCCGTCGTCACCATCAACACAAACAACCCGATCCACCGACACCACCACCACAACCATCATCGTCATCATCATCATCGTCGTCGTCATCATCGTCATCGTCATCATCATCATCACCGTCGTAAACATCATCGTCATCATCATCAGCAGCACCATCATCACCATCACCATCACTATCACCACCACCATCACCAACATCATGACCATCACCATCATCGTCACCATCACAAACACCATCACCATCACCATCACCAGCATTATCATCAGCAGCATCAGCATCATCATCATCACCATCATCGGCACCATCAGCATCACCATCATCATCATCACCACCAACATCCTCGTGGACGTCGTCAGCATCATCATCAACATCATCACCGGCCTCATCCTCACCATCGTCATCATCATCATCATCGACATCATCAGCATCAGCATCATCATCGTCATCGTCATCGTCATCGTCATCATCATCATCATCATCATCATCATCATCATCATCATCATCATCACAATCACCATCATCATTGTCACCACAATCAACATCCTCATCACCGAAACCACTATCGACACCCTTGGTATCATGGCCGTCACCATCATCACAATCGTCAACACCACCAACAGCGTCACCACCCATCATCGCCATACATTATCACCAGTCTGTCCGCCTCTGTCTCACCTCCTCGTCCTCCTGCCTCCTCCCCATTCTCCCCCTCGCGCACGGGGTAGACCATGGGGGTGAGGAACGGGGAAGATTGGGCAAGGGGAGGAGGAGAAAGCGTTGAGAGATTCGGACATCTGTTCCAGCGGCTTCAGTGGATACCTGACGTCGATGAAAGGTTATGAAGACTCTCGGGCCCGATGCCTCCTCCTTCTCCTCTACGTTTACCTTTTTCCTCCTCCTCTGCCCTCCTCCCTTCTCCCGCCCCGTCCTCATATGTCCTCCTCCTCCCCCTCCTCCCTCCTCCGCGCTGCTTTTTAAAACGTCCTTGACAATCTCCCCACCTCCTGGCGCCTCTTACACGTAGAAGGCCGGAGGGCAGATCCGTTCCCACGCGTGGCCCTCGCCAGCTTGGCATGCCCAGGGTGGGGGCTCACCTGCTCAGGCGGGCGCACCGGGCGGCTCCTGCGGTGGGGCTCTTCCTCCTCCTGCGCCTCCTCGTGCCGCCGCTCCTCCTCCTCCTCCTCCTCCTCCTCCTCCTGCCGCCGCTCCTCCTCCTCCTCCTCCTCCTCCTCCTCCTCCTCCTCCTCCTCCTCCTCCTCCTCCTCCTCCTCCTCCTCCTCCTCCTCCAACACCTCCCCCCCCCAGGCCTCCACACCGCGACGTCCGACGGCATGGGGTAAGCCCGTCGGCCCGAAGGAGTGCCCAGGCGTGGGGCCCACGGTGCTCGGCGAGAGAGCCTTTTTTTCAGACGGCGTGCGCGACCGCACCGACGCCGAGTCCGAACGACCGTCTCCCCCCTCTGAAGGGGCCCTGGGGCAAACAAATAGATACACACACACACACACAAATACGAGGATTCCCCATATTTTCCCATAGTTTCTGATTGTTGCCTTCCCCCTCCCACTTCCCATATTTGCCCATATTTTTTCCTGGGAATCGACGATTCATTGCGTCTGTGTGTTTTTTCCCTCCTGACCCTCCTCCCCTCCTCCTCCCCCCTCCTCCGACCCTCCTCCCCATCCGCCACCGTGCCTCTGGGCACGGAGTGGGCGTGTCCTCGGGCCTTTGTGCCCAATCAGCTGAACCTCAGCCCTCACTCCTGAGGAATCCCTCAGGGGCCCGCAGCCGAAAGTATCAGATCTCTCGGGTCTCGGCGCGGTTCCCCTGGGGCTTGCCGCGGCGTCCCGCTCGTTTGTTCGGGCCCAAGAGGGCTCCAAGACCCAGAGAGCCAAAGAGGTCCCCAAGACGGCCCAAGGAGGCCCCGAGTCGCCGAACGATCGCCCCGGGACGCTCAAGATGGCCCCAAGACGGCCCAAAAGGCCTCCCAGACGCCCACAGAGGCCCCCAAGAGGGCCCTGAGATACCAAAATCCTTGATTGTCCTTAGTCCTTAGGTTGTTGAAGAATTTTGGCGTTCTCGCCATTGCGGCTCCCCGACGCTCGCAGACTGCCCTATAGGACCCCCAAACCGCCCCAAGACGGCCCAAGAGGCCCCCAAGAAGGAACCAAAACGGCCCAAGAGGGCCCCAAGACACGCACAGAGGTACGAAAATAACTCAAGAGGGCCCCAAGACGGCCCCAAAAGGAACCCCAAAGAGGAAACACGAACCGAACATCCGAGCCTTCCGCCAAAACGCCCCCAGGAGGCCCAAGAGGCCCCAAGAAGCCCCCAAGAGGGCCAAAAAGAGGCCCCCACAGGCACCAGCCGGCCCTCAAGAGGCGTCCAAACTGCCTCCAAGAGGGCCCCGAGAAGCCTCCGTCTTCCAACAACCCAAGCAGGGTGGCGGAATATGCCGAAGGCCATTGGAAGCGTCCGTCTTCTCCCCTCTCTACTTCCTTCCCTGTGACGGCGACGTCGCGTCCACTAAAGGGGTGGTGCTAGGAGGGCGGGCTTCTGAGGCGGCAGGGCTTCTAAGAAGACAAGGAGGCCTCAAAGCTCAGGAGCCCGCCCGGCTTCCAAAAAGGCCCTTCACAGACCCTTCCGCCGCCTCCTCAGAAACCCACCTCGCTCGCGCATCCCCCTCTGTGGGCGCCGCCAAGACGCTGGCCTTGACTTATGTTGCTTCCTGCGTACTGAAGGACCACATCCCAGAAATAAGTTCGAGCATCCAGAAAAGCATCGAGACGGCGTCGAACGAGAGACTCGCCCCCCCAGGGCGCGACACGTGAAAGCCCTCGAGTCTCGGTAGTTTCCTGGTGCTCGAAATTCTTCCTGGCGATCAGAGCTAAAGCAGGTTGGAACACCATATAGCCTTGACGCCGACGTCGCCACCGACGACGGCGGGCCGCCCGCGGGCAGCGAGGAGCGGCGCCCCGCCCGGGGGCAGGGGCGGAGGAGAGTCCAGGGCCAGGAAGAGCTCCAGCCCGGCCTGGCCGGCGCGGGGCGCCCGGGGAGTGCTGCTGCGGGCGGCGGCGGTGGGTGCACCGCTCGCCGCCGCCGCCGCCGCCGCCGCCGCCGCCGCCGCCGCCGCCGCCGCCGCCGCCGTCGTCGTCGTCGTCGTCGTCGTCGTCGTCGTCGTCGTCGTCGTCGTCGTCGTCGTCGGAGTCGTCGGGGAAGTTCCGGGAAGGGGGGGGGCACGTCGCTATGGCTGGGCGGGCCCGCTTGCAGATCCTGGACATGGCGTGCTCCAGGAGAGGTCTGGGGAGCGATATTTGAAAAGGACGGGGAAGCGGAGGCGTGGGGGCCGCGCCCCGTGTTAGGGGTGCGCCGTCGTGGGGCGGGCAGGGCGCCTGCGAACGTCGCCAGTGGGGCCTCATGTGGAGCTCCCTACGAGGCCACGGACCGTGTGGGGGGTGCGCTGGGAATATAGACGGGCATGCGAGCGTCGCCACTGGAACCTTCGGTGGACATCGGTTGTCACAGGCAGCTCCCTATCATCGACACACCCCTCACAGCGCTCGTGGCCCCATAATGGAGCCACGAACGGTGCAAGGGGTGTGCAGAACTGGATGTCATGCAGAAAGTAGGCGCAGGCATGGAGGGAGGAAGGCGGAACGCGGGGCGCTGTCTCTTCGAAACGAAGACCCAACACCAAAACATGGCTGGTGACAAATATGACGGGGGAAAGGGGGTGTGTGACATCTTCTGGACAGGGTCAGGGGCGAGAGGAGTATTCATAGTGTGATTTTATGGAAACCACCGACCACAAAGGCGTGTGCCATCAGCTTTCGGACATTTCCTGCTCATTTCCCCTCCCCCCGGCAGCATCCATACTGTCCACCGAATCGACCACCGCCAGCCTCCTGGCTGCTGTGGGCATCGGTTGTTCCGGGCCACCCACCCTGCAAAATCCTCACAGGGGCCTCTCCCACCGCGCCCACACCACGCCTGACACCGCCAGCCTCCTGGCGCTTCTGGCATTTGTTCTTCAGCGCCACCCACCCTGCAAAATCCTCGCCGGGGCCCCTCCCACCGCGCCCACACCACGCCTGACACCGCCAGCCTCCTGGCGCTCCCCACCACGACATCGCCAGCCTCCTGGGGCCTCTGGGCATCGCTTCTTCAGCGCCACCCACCTTGCAAAATCCTCGCCGGGGCCCCCCACCGCACCCCCACCACGCCTGACACCGCCAGCTCCCTGGGGCCTCTGGGCATCGCTTCGTTAGGGCCACCCACCCTGCAAAATCCTTGCGCGGGGCCGCCCACTGCGCCCCCGACCGCCCCTGACACCGCCAGCCATCTGGGGCCTCTGGGCATCGGCCCTTCATCGCCACCCACCCTGCAAAGTGCTCTCCGGGGCCCGCCCACCGCGCCCCTCACCACGCCTGCCACCGCCAGCTCCCTGGGGCCTCTGGACATCGGTTCTTCCGGGCCACCCGCCCTGCAAAATCCTCCCTGGGCCCCCCCACCGCGGCCCCACCACGCCTGACGCTGCCAGTTACCTCGGGCTTCTGGGCCGCGGCTCCAAGCTCCCAACCTCTCGCTGTTCGCCATCTTTCGCAAACACAAGCAACTGCCCCACAACGCAAGATTTCCTGGGGTCGGCGGCAGAGGCGGCAGCCTTTAGATCAGCTGACAGCGGCGACAGAAGTCTGGGAGAGGGCAGGGAGATCAGGATTGTCAAGCCAGGTGCGCTCACGCCACATCGGGCATCCGATCCCTCCTTTCCATCCCTGCCCCAGTGCGCTTAAGGTCTGTCTATCCGCGGACGCATGTCAGAGTCAACCTGGAACTTCACTATCCCAGCCAAGCACCCAAATCCGCCGATTCAGCGTGTGAATTTGAAGGAGCCTCAGCTACAGTCTCGAGGCTGAGGCTGAGCTTCAGCCTCTGGGGGAGGTTACCGGTGTGGCTCTGCCGGGGAAGGGGGGGGGGACGAATTTTCTGGCGCGTTCCAGGGCTGGTGTTTTCGGGAGACTACAGTCTCGAGGATTCGTCGAAAGAGGGGTCGCGGCCGCAGAGGCCTCTGGAGACGGTCCAAGAGAGCCCCGAGACCCCCAAAGATCGCCCAAAGACGCCCAAGATGGCCCTAGGCGGCCCAAGAAACCTCCAAGACGTCTCAAAAGGCCTCCAAGAGGCCTTCCGCGAGTTCCCCAAGAGTCAAATATCGTTGATGTTCATTGTTTTCTTTCTACGTGTTTGGGGCTGTCGCTCTGTTCGACTTTCCGACGCCCCACCACGGCCCGAGAGGCCCCGACGACCACTCCAAGACAGCCCAAGAGACTCCCTAGACGGCCCCAACAAGGCCCAAGAGGGCCCCAAGACGGCCCAAGAGCCGCCCAAGACGGCCCACGAGGCTCCCAAGACTGGCCCAAGACGACCCAAACAAGAGACGAAAAACTTACAAAATCGAGCCTTCCGCCCCAAGAGGCCCCCAGGAGGCCCCAAGAGTCCCCAAAGAGGCCCCCAAGTGGCCCCCAAGACGCCCCGCCCTGAGAGGCCCTTAAGAAGCCCAAAAGAGGGTCCACGAGGCCCCAAAAGAGCACCCAAGAGGCCCGTTCACGCTTTCGCATTGCGAAATGCAAGGTAGACAAACCAGAACCACCTGGCCCCGCCAAATGCCACCCGGATCGGCGGCACTGGCCAGAGGACATTACTACAATAGCAGCAAAAGGTGACTTGTGGGAGCTGCGGGGGGTGGGAACCATAGGATTTGTGCGATTCTTGGGAAATGTGAAACCTGTGGGATTGTTGTGGCCTGTGGGACGTGTGGGACATGCGGGGCAGGTGGGAACTGTGGATCTGTAATACCTGTGAAACATGCGGGACTCTGGGACCTGCGACACAAGTGCGACCTGTGGGACATATGGGAATTGTTGGACCTGTGAGACCTGCGACTCCCGTGGCACGGGCTGGGCCTGTGGGACCTGCAGGACCTGGACCTGTGGGACCTCTGTGGGGCCTACGAGACATGCGACACCTGTGGGATGTATGGGACCCGAAAGCCTTGTGTGACCTTTGGGACCTCTGTGGGACCTGCGAAACCTGCGACACCTGTGGGTCCTGCGAGACCTGCGGGGTCCATAAAAGTGGCCCACGTAAAGGCGGGAGCGCCTTTTCTGAACGACGGGGGCACAACGCCGATCCGAAAATGACGCCCACGCTGCAGCGAGATAATCATGTTTGAAACACCGAAAGCAATCGGAGTGCAAAAGCTCATACGAACAAAAATGTCGGTCCAAGCTTGCGCAAAACAGAAACAGGACGCGGATGGAGGGCGGGAATTCTTCCGAGCAGGTTCAGGGGGGAGAGGGGCGTAGTAATTACATCTATGATTGTGTACTTGTCAAACGATTGGAGGACGACTCTGGGGAACACTCCCAAGACAACCAGCGCCCGCCTGCCAGAACTTCGGGTTCGAGAACCGCGTCTGAAGCACCGTGAAGGCCACCTCGGGAGGCGGCGGGGGCGGCGGTGGCGGCGGCGGCGGCACCGGTGGCGGCAGCGGCTGCGGCGGCAGCGGCTGCGGCTGCGGCGATTCGGCAGCGAGGGCGGCGGCGGCGGCGGCGGCGGGCGGCGCAGTGGCGGCGGCGGCGGCGGCGGCGGACAGCGGCGGCGGCGACGGCGGCGCGGCGGCGGCGGCGGCGGGCGGCGGCGGGCGGCGGCGGCGGCGGAGGCGGCGACGGCGGCGGATTCGCCCCGAGTAGCTGTCCATGCAAAGACGACTGCTGCATATGCTGCGGTTCGGGCCAGCTTCGGTTGCTGCGTATGTCTTGGGAGGGCGGGTGGGAGTGAGCGGCGGCGGACAGCGGCGACGGCGGCGGCGGCGGCGGCGCGATAGCGGCGGTGGCGGGCGGCGACGGCGGCGGCGGCGGCGGCGGATTCGCCCCCAGTAGCTGCCCATCCAAAAACGACTGCTGCATATGCTGCGGCGCGGGTCAGGCTCGGGTGCTACGTATGTGTTGGGAGGGCGGGTGGGAGTGAGCGAGACGGCTTGCGGGCTGGGAGGGCGTCTTGACCACTCCCCCTACACCCTCCCCTGGACCTAGGCAGGGGGGTCCGCGACGCACTGAAGCGTCCAAAACGGCCTCGGCGAGGAAGCCAAAATCATTGGTTGTGCGTTGGTTTTGGCCCCATTTTGGCCTCCTGAGAGGACCGTAATTGGGGAACCCCCCTTCTTTAATCGATGTCCTCCGAGATGGCCCCAAGAGGCGCCCAGGAGGCCCCAAGAGGTCCCAAGAGACCCCCGAGAGGACCCCAAGCGTCCCCCAGAGGCCTCCCCGAGACACCCAAGACGCCCAAGAGTCCCTCAGGACCGCCAAGAGACCCCCAAGAGGCCTCCAACAACCGCCCAAGAGATATCCCAAGGGGCTCCGAGAGGCATTCAGGAGACCTCCAAGAGACCCCGAAGAGGCTTCAAGAGGATCCCCGAGGCCCCCAAGATCCCCCCAGTCGCCCCAAGAGGTTTCCAAAGCAACTCCCAAGAGGCATCCTAAGAGGACCTTCTGTTCGTCATGTTTCCTCCTCCTTCTCATTGTCCTTATTATCCTCCTCCTCCTCCTCCTCCTCCTCCTCCTCCTCCTCCTCCTCCTCCTCCTCCTCCCCCCCCTTCACCCGCCTACTCATCATCCGAGAACGACCACCATCAACAGCAACAGCAGCAGCACTAGCAGCAGCAACAGCAGCAGCAGTACCAGCAGGAGCAAGAGCACCAGCAGTAACACTTGCAACCTTCGCCACAAAATATATCCCAATTCACCGTTGTTGCCCGCTCTGGTTCACTATGTGCGTCTCTTATTCCCTTCTTCCGTTAGCCGTCCTGGGCATCGTTTCTGGATGGGCTGATGGGCATACTTTTTTGTTCTGCGGCCCGCAAGGAAAAGTCCAGAGGGCGTGTCACTGGTGGGGATACGCGAAGCGTCTAGAATTCGAACAAAACGATGCCACTCGACGCCGCTGCACTTAGACTGGCACCCGCTCGGCCCAGACTGCATCAGACTTCGGGGATCTAGGCTTTCCCATACATTGCAGCACCAGGGAACCTCGTGAGGGGGGAGGGAGGAAAGACAAAGAAAGAGGATGAGAGGGGGAAGAGAGGGGTAGGAGAGAGGAGCAGGCGGGGAAGGGGAGTGAGGCAATGCAGCGGAAGGGGGAGCAGAGGAGGATGCCGATGAGGAACGGGCGGATTAAATGGAGCCTGGGGACGTGGAGACAACTGGCAGATGAGGAAAAGGAGACGAGCGTAGAGAGGAGAACAAATTTGAGAATGAGGATGAAGATGAGGAGGCGCAGCGTCGAACAACAACTCCTCCCAGCGTGGAGGAGGAGGAGGAAAAGGAGGAAAGGAGCAGGGTGAGGACGCTCGAAAGGAAATGAACGCCACCAAGGCGCCGCATCGCGGCCGTTGGCGCCGTCGTTTTCGACGCCGACGCCACCCTTCGTCCCCGGCGCTCGCGCGGGCAGGCTGCCGCGCCGCTGGCCCCCTGCGCGGGCGGCCGGACGAGGTGCGCCTCTCGGGCCCTCGGGCTGCGGTCGCGAATGTGCTTGCCGTGTCGCGGCGGTGGCCGCGGCAACACGCTGTGCCCTGCGAGCGGATCGCGTGTCGTTCCACTCCGCGGGGCGGGTGAGTAGTGAGGAAGCAACTACTGGAAGGCTTTCGTCGGAAAGATTGAAGAGGATTAAGCCCAATTTGGGAGCTATGACGCCGGAGTTGGCCTCGGATTAAGCGGGATCAAGCTTGGATTCCAACGTGGGTCTGTTAGTATACAGAGGGCCATGAAACAAACGTTGCAACACATATTCAGCGTATCTGTGCATATGCGGTCTGGCGAATCGGGGCGGCATCATCGCGACGCCAAGGGGCGTCGCGGACTCGAGCCTTTGGCCTGGAAACACGAAGCGCACGATTACCCAGATCATGAAATTCTGCAACCAGTCACTGTGTTCTGGGGGTGCATGGACACGCAAAACACTGTTCTGCGAATCGTTAGCTGGCGCCCGCCTCGAACTCATGCCCCATCCCCCGCCTCTTCCAAAGATTCCTTCGTTGTGGCCCCGCCCTCCTCATGCCCCTCCGATTGCCCTGGTCCTCATCTTGCCCTTCATCCACATTGCCCCCCCCATGTGCCAATTCACGTCGTTTTTCGTCGTCTTCCTGCCCCAGATTCGTTCCCCCATCGTCCACGTGCCTGCCCTCCTCCCATCCTCTACGCCCTAGTGCACGTCATGCCCCCCAATTTCTGCCCCCCACCCCACCTCCCTCGCCCTCGTGATGCTGACACCGATGATGCAGATCCACCTGGGCTCATTTCCTCCGCTCTCGTCCAGTCCCGTTCATCCTTGGCCCCTCGGCCACCCCTCCTATCGAACCCCTTCCTTCCTTCCCACAGCCCACCATCCCCACCCCCCCGCGCCTATGCATGCCCAGACCACGGCCCACTCCTGGACCAGCCAGGAGACCCGCCGAAACTCCCGCCCAGTGACCACTCCAGCGAACGGCGCGCAACAAATGCACAGTTGGAGACACGAACTGTGTATTTCGACCGCGCACGACGCCCCCCTGGACCAGCCGGAAGAGAAACGCGAAAGTTCCCGCCCGTTCAACACCACCCGCGAAGGGCACACTCCAAATACACAGATGGGAACGAGATCTGTGTACACAGATCACACCAAGATCTGTGTAAACAGCGGGCCCACAAACGAAAATACACAGTTGAAGACACAAACTGTGTACACAGATCACACCTTGACCTGTGTATTTCGAAAAGGTAAACGCTCGCCACCGCGAGGGCGCCCCGACTTTGCCAACCCAGAACTGAGGTCGACATGCCCAGCTGGGGGGGGAATGCAAATACACACTTCCCCGGCCCAGGGCGCCCCCGAGAGAGCTGAAAATACACGCTTCCCTGGCCCGGGGTGGCCGCGGTGTAACGCGGCGCCAAAGCGGCCCCCAACAGCCCGAAGACGCCCCCGAAGGCCTCGAAGGACCCCAAAGAATGCCGCAGAGCAATCCGAAAACACGAGAGATGTCACATGTCATGGACCTCTTCACAGTAAAAGCTCCGCGCGTCGCAAGATAGACCACTGCTCTGGCAGGGGGGCGGACCGTGCCGCAGGCACCTATAATTTACATGTTAGCGATGCGACTGTGCTCGGCGGCCGTGCCGCCCGCATTTTGGGTGCGCCCCGAACTCTCGCATTGGCAATCCCCTCTGTTTGGCTGCGCCGCTGTGCTCGGATATCGAAAAAACATTCACCGCTGACGCGGGCACGCGGCTCCAAGGACTTCACTTTTCGAACAAGGAGGGTGGACGAGGTAGGACGACGGACGGTGGAGCAGGGATGCAAAGAGGAACGAGGAATAATGAGGGAGGTGGGAAGGGGCGCTCCCCCGCCCGAGAAAGGAAGGGGAACGGAGCAAGGGCGAGGACGACGACGGGAAGCAAAGTGTCCCGGGTCCGCATATAGCCAAATGTCTGCGATTCGGGTGCGCGCGCTTTCTTCGAGGCACTTCAAGCCGGACCCATACTTAATTCACTACTTCCTCAAAACTGTGTAAACACTCTGTCCTCTGTTCCCTCTCCTATACAACGGCCTCATAACAGAGGGGAATTAAGCGGGATAAAGCTGAATTAAGCCAGACTTCGGGCCAGTGCAAAATCAGAATTTGACCTCCCAGGAGTTGCATCCCAAGAGTAGGGAAAGCTCGGGCGGATAGCGTGTCGCTCCGAAGCGTGGTGGGCCAGAGCCGTCGGAACGACACGCTAAGCCGAAGTTCCCGGCCGTATCTCGGAGGGAGAGGCTCCCATGCGCATTGTTCAACCGATCCCTATGCCCACTGGCATGGCCTTGGCCCCACTGGCCGATTTGCCACCCTGGGCGGGGATATGCCCCTGTTCCCTCGGGCTCCGCGGGGCATATCCCCGTCTAGGCGGGTGGGCTGGTGGGTATGAGACACCCTGGCCCAATGGCGAGAAGGCTCGGGTAGACGATGCTAATCTTAAGTCGGGCGTGTCCCCCTACAGGGGGATACTGGGTAGAAGTACAACATACTAAAATACATCTCAAGTGGTCAAACATAGTCAAAACATCGTCCCCAGACTATTTTTTTCGTATGTTTGAACATTCCTCCTGTAGGGGGACAGGCCAGACTTACTGCTATTCCCAAGGCCGAATCGACCTCCCCTCTTGAGGTCGGCTACACGCAAAAGTGACCCTGGGTCAGAGTGACCTTTGGTGCGCGGCTTTTTCCGGGGCCGCGGGGGGACCAGATCTGGGCGCGCAACCAGCTGCTGCTGCCTCGCTCTGGGCCCTCCGGGGGCCCCGTCTGTGCCCGCACCAAGGGGTCACTCCGGCAAGAACTCACTCCCACGCCCGGTCGATGAGGCCCTGCCTGGGCACTCCTGGGTGCCGGGCGCCCGCCTTGCCGGCCTCCGCGAGGGCGAGGGCGAGGGGCTCCGAGAGCTGCTCGTGGTCGCCGATCTCCGCCTCCCGCCCGCGCCGTCGCGTCGTCGACAAGGTCTCACCAGTGGGGGTGGATGTGGAAAGGGAGCCGCGCTCCGTACACCGACGTTCTTGTGCGGCCCTGCACGGACCTTTGCGCAAGAGAGCGGAGCCTGGTGTATGCGGGACACTGGTGTAGACATGTTCCAACTGTTTCCTGGGAGAACGGGGGAACAAGTATACACTACACCACCCCGACGTCGTCCCCGACCCTCAAAAAGACCTGAGATTGGAAGAAGGCCCGCCACTGGTAACGTATAGGCTCCAGTTTCCGATATGGCTGTACATTGCCATATCGCTGGGGCCTCCAAGAGGCCCCAAGAAGCCCTGGAAGGGGACCCCGAGAAGCCTCAAGACGGTGCAAAACTGCCTCCGGAAGGCTCCTGAGGGGCCTCCCAAGAGATCCCCACACGCTTCCAAGAGGCCTCTGACCTGCAATACAGGCACGGTGGCAGGGTGGCCCGAAGACCACTGGGTCCACCGCCCCCTCTTATGCTATCGCAGGGGTCATCTGCGTGCCGAGTGTTCGTCACAGCTGTGTCGTCTCAAGTGGCTCTTCTCCGCTGGACGCAGGTCGCCTCCGTGCAAGAGTCGGCGCTGCCGGACGCACTCCCCCCGAAGCGGGCGGTCCACTTCTGGAGGCGTCCCCGGTCCACCACCGGAGAAAGGGGGGGGCAAAACGCCTCTCCGCTCAGGGGCTCTCATGCCCCGTCGTCCCGCCGCCCAGGATGCAGGACGCCGTTCTAAGATGGCCTTTTGCCCAATCTGGTTTCCAAGAGGGTACCAATGTCTCCGGGACGGCGAAGATGGCCTCAGAGAGCCCAAGACAACCCCAATATGCCTCGAAGACGACCAAAAATGGACCCAAGACGGCCCAACATTGAGTTCATACTGCCCAATCCCACCAGCCCTCTGGGCGTCGGTGGTTTAACGAGTTTCCTCTTCCACCCCTCCCTCTTCCCCTTCGGGGAGGGGTTTACCCCTCCCCCTACCCCCTCCCCACTGACCTGGACAGGGGGTTCCGCGGCGCGTTGGAGCGCCCAAGATCGACCCCTGGGAGGGCTAAAATTCGACACCCCTCACGAGGATCGTGGCTCCTGAGGGGGGGGGGGGGGCTGTAATTAGGGAACCCCCCTTCGTTGATCGATCTCCTCCAAGATGGCTCCGAGGCCCCCCAAGAGGCCCCCAGGAGGCCCCCAAGAGACCCCCAAGAGGCCCCAAGAGACCCCCCAGAGGCACCCAAGAAGCGCCCAGGAGGCCCCAAGAAGCGCCCAGGAGGCCCCCAAAGGCCCCAAGATGGCCCCAAGAGGCCCCAAGAGGCCCCCAGGAGGCCCGAAAGAGGATCCCGAACGGCCCACAGAGGCCCCCCCGAGGCACCCAAGACGCCGAAAAGCCCCTCAGGACGACCCTCTACTCGCCTGGGCGTCGTTTCTGGACGGGCTGGTGGGGATACGCGAAGCGTCTAGAATAGGGCCCCCAAGGCGCCCCAAGGGGGCGTCCCCGCGGGATGGTTATTTGATATTGGGTTCTCGCGTTTCGGGCCTCCGTCAGCCGAAAACAGCCCAAACCTGCATTATGGCCCGAAAACTGCCCAAGAAGACCCCGAGGGCCCACGAAAGACGGCCTCAGAGAGACCTCGAAGACGGCCCGAAAGCCTCCAAAGAGGGTCTCAAGAAGGCAAGGTGAAGCTTCAACTACGGCCTCAAAAAGCCAAGCGGCCCCTCAGGGGCCCCAGAAAAGGCCGCCCAGAGGCCCCAGGAAGCCAGCCAGGGCACCAAAGGTGCCCCCCAAAGGGTTTCCACAACGGCCTGGGGGACGCCACCCCGTAGCCCGGCAATGCGTCGGCCCAGCGTTTGGCCAAATAGGCGTTTCCCAAGGGCAGGGGGCGGCGGTGACTCGCCGCAAGCGTCTTCGATGAAACGCCCCCCCCGCCAGACTGCGGCACGCGGCGACGAAGGTCTTCTTCGACCGCAGGTCCTTCTGCAGCGCAGCCGCGCGCGCGAGCAGCGCCTGGCCGCCTTCTGCGGCCATCCTGAGCGCTGCGTTCTGCGGGCCGGGGGGGCCCGCAAGTGCTGAACGCGTCCCCCGACGGGGGAAACGGCGAGGACGGCCAGGAAAAGGGGGTGCTAAGGGGCTAACCTTAGCGGCTAAAGGGGGGGAGAGTTCCTCTGAAGGACAAGGGCCAGCGAGGAGGCGGGGGGCAAATGCGAGAACACCTCCTCGGAACGAGGATCACGGGGGGCACGTCCAGGACGATGAGGAGGGCTAATGAGGAGGGGGAGGGGGCAGGAAAGAGGGGAGGAGGGAGACGGGGAGGAGGGCCATGCACAGGTGGGTACAGCGTGGAAGGGGACGAGCATGGAGGAGGAAGGAGCGAAGCTGAAGAGAAAGAGGAGGAGGAGGAGGAGGAGGAGGAGGAGGAGGAGGGCACGAAGCTCGGCGAGCAGGTCGATCTGCGGCCTCGCCTATGCTTGCATGCGGTGCAGAGCGGCCAGTCTCACACCAGACCGATGATCCGCTCCGGCATCCAGGCCCACGTCCACGCGGTGCTTCTGGATGTGGTAGCACTGGCACAAGAGGCCGACCGAGTAGATGCAGTCCGTGATCGGTCTCCTTGCGTGGAACTGCGCGTCGCCGAACCCGAGGAGCTCGACGCCGTGGCCCAGGGAGTCCGCGCCAGCGTCGCCCGCGGTCATCGCCCTGAGGATCGGGCAGACGATGTAGTGCTCGAGCGCGTCCTCCTCATCGCAGCCGAACAGGCATGGACGCGCATCGATGACGGCGCTCATGCGGCGAGATGTCGTCCAGCCGTTGACCGCGGTGCGGATCCACGACCACATCCATGCAGGGCGGACCTCCGTCAGCTTGTCACGCAGCGGAGGCCACCTCTCGCGCAGCTCGGGAAGCGAGCACACGACTCCCCACCTGCGCAGCCGACGGTGGATGGTGGCCACCAGGTCCTCGGGGTACAGCGAGCCTCGGAGCGATATGGCGGCCGTGGCCTGGCGCTTGGGCTTCCTGTGGGGGATGGCCGCTGCCGCCGCCTTCGTCTCCAGGGTCATCGCCGCCTTCGCAATCTTGAAGTACCTGCTCGGAATCGGGACCGGGAGCACATCGAGCGTCGGTCTGGGGATGTTCAACTGGCCGTAGGTGTCCGTGATGATGGCGAAGTCCTGTACGATCGCCCTCCGCGCCTGCCACCACGGCGGCGACCAGTTGCCCTTGATCACGTCGACCAGTGGGACATGCTCCACCGCAGCTTCATGAAGGTGGTGAAGGTGAGCTTCCCATTCGCGAACCGTGTTCTCCGCCGTGCGCATCATCGCCGCGAGCGTGTACGGGAAGAGGCCCGTCGGCGAGGGGGAGCCGCACCACGCGCTCATCGACAGGATGTCGGCCTTGCGCATGGACGAGGGCGGCAGCCGCAGCAGGCGGTGCAGGGAGGTGAACTCGACCTTCCAGATGGCAGGCACAATGAAGTAGAACTGCGCGAGGTACGACAGGCACGGTAGCGCGTTGATGTTGCACGCGCGGGCCGCAAGGCTGGTGGCCATGCCAGTGCGCGCCAGTTCCCAGCAGCGGGTCCACCATTTCCCCGCAGCAGCCTTCCAGATGCCGAAGTCTGTGGCGCCTGGCCCCAGGTGAGTCCCCAGGTACTTGGCCGTGGAGTCGACGCGGAAGCCCGACCAGCGGGGGACCTCCTCAGCGAGGAAAGACTTAACGTCCTGCAGTGTGTCCTCCGAGAGCTCCTCCCACAGCGGAACCAGCACGCACTTGTGCAGCGCCAGCTGCAGGTTGAAGGCAAACTCTATGGAGACGAAGGTGTAGTCGATGCTAGGGAGGGCGACAGCGTTCTTGATCAGCATCCCGAGGTCGTCGGCGCAAGCCGTGAGGAACCCATGCTCTGCAATCGCAACCAGCAGCGCGCGGATGGGCGCGTCCATGGCCAAGCACCAGACCGTGCCAGAGAGCGGGCATCCTTGCATGATGCCGCATAGGAGCGCGAACAGCGGCTCGAACTCCGCGCTGGTGCCCTCGGCGCGGAAGGAGCTGAAGGCGAGGCAGTTGCTGTAGAGCGCCGCGACCACGTTGCAGAAGCCCAGCGGGACCCCGAAGCGCGGGGGGACCTTCTCGATGACTTCCCTGAAGAGTGAGGGGAAGGCCTGACGGAAGTCGCGGAACATGGGGAACATGGGGCGGCGGGTCGCCGCGTCAGGAAGAAGGCCCTCCCGGCGGCATTCCGCGTCCAGGTACGGGATGTGGTCGACGAAGCGCCGCCCAGCAGTGAAGCCCTTCTGCTCGGGTGAGGTAGATGATGCGGCGATGGGCTGGAGCCCACGGTCTGCGCAGGCCGCTATCAGCTTGGCGTCGCAGTTCTTCAGAGAGAGGGTGCGCACCGTGGAGGCCGTGCGCGTGCAGGAGTCGGGGACGTCGTCCTCCTCCGCGCCCTTTGGCACGCAGATGAAGATCGACCAGTTGAGGTCGAGCGGGGCCACGCCGTCGTTGAAGAGGACTTCCATGAGACCCTGGAGATGCTGCAAGGCTCCAGGGCTGCGGCGCCACGCTGCGCACGACAGCTGATCTGGTCCCGCAGCGCTCGGCGGGGCCCTACTGGCCGCACGTTCCAAGTCATGTAGAGCTGGTTGAGGTAGTTCCACCGCGGGCTTCCTTGGCGCGTGCTTGTCCAGGAAAGCGCCCAAGGCCTTGAGCTGTTCAGAGTTCGGCACCTTCGCGAAGATCTCACCCCAGTAGTTCGCCACGGTCGCCTTCATGCCCGCGGGATCGGAGACCACGTGCTGAGCCACCTTCGAGGCCTTGGCGGCACACGGTGCGGAGTCCACGCGCAGGCCCGACAGGATCATACGTCGCCGCCGCGGGACCCAGAGCTGCGCATGCCTGGCGGCCTTGCGCTCAACCCTCCGCCAGGCTGCGCTGTCGCGCACGTTGGCCGTCCGAGCTGCTGCCTCCGCCGCCTGCCTGCGCAGGGAGTGCACCCGCTCGGCGACGGCGTCGAAGTTGGTGGCGAAGCTGTGGGGGTCCACGAGGCGCACGGTGCCGTCGGTAACGTGGAGGTGGGCGGCCAGCGCAGGGCAGGACTCGAGAAGCCTGCCTGCCAGGGCAGCGTCCTGTCGCCAGACAGCCCGCGCCGCCGACTTGAAGCCCATGTGCGAGGTCTCGACCATGGAGTCCTTGACGTGCAGGGAGAAGTTGGTCCGCAGCTGGTCATCACGAACGCGTCGCGCTGCAAGTTTCACGCACTGCTTCGCTGCTCTCCAGCGGCCTTCCGCCGTTTCCCCCGCCAAGGAGCAGTGGTCCAGCATGAGCGTGTAGGTCTCAAGGTACTTCCTGTGGTTGAAGAGGTGCGTCGGGATTGGCTGCTCGTCTCGTGGTACCTGGCGTGCGGCAGTGATCTGCAGGACGAGGGGCGCGTGGTCGCTGATGCCCTCCTCGGAAAGCTCCATCGCGTCCCTCGCAGTGGTGAGGATCGTCGAGACCGAGAGCATGGCGTGCGCGTCGATGCCCAAGAAGATGCGGTCGATCGTGGACAGCTGCTTGCTGGACTTGTCGTAGTGGGTCGGCCACTGAGACTCCACCTCCAGAGCTGCAGCGAATAGACGGCGCCACGCAGGTTGCCGAAGTTGGCAACGGTGATCAGGTCGGAGGCGCCAAGCTGTGGTGTCTGTGGGTGCTCGTTGACTGACTGGCGGGCGGTTAGCTATGTTGAAGTCACCGACGCCCAGGAAGATGCGGCGCAACGAGTCGCGGCGCGCCCACGCCAGGCCACTGGACCAGGTGCGCTGCACTGCGGTGAACTCGTGCGGCTCGAGGTCGTAGTTGTGGATGTTGAAGATCTGCATGCTGTACTTGCCCGAGCAGTCGGTGATCGTGAGGAGCGCCGCGCGGCCGGCCGCAACTATGTCGAAGCGGTAGGCCGGCAGAGCTGATGTGGAGCTTCGTGTACTTGACCAGGTGTTGTTCGGTTGTGACGTGGATGTCGTGGGAGAACGTCGTGTACTTGACCAGGTGTCGGGGCAACTTGCTGTCGTAGGTGAGGAGGAGGTTCGCGTACTTGACCAGGTGTCTTGAGTCGGCATAGATGAAGTTGGGGGCGAGGAGCGCACAGGAGGTCTTCCACGTCTCGCCTCGCTCCCTTCTCCCAGAGATTCGGCTCTGGGTCCATCCACCCTTGAAACTTCGTCGGCGTATCGAGGGACGAGGAAGGCGACTCCGCCCACGGCGGCGGAAGAGCCAGGCGAGAGGAAGCTCAAGTACTTCTGCGGCTGCGACTGGAGAAAAATCCCGAGGGCGTCCTCGGAGCCGTGGACCTCCTGCACGGCGATGATGGCGTTGACCTTCATGTAGGTGGCGAGCAGTGCCAACTTGCGTCTGCGCAGCCTCGCGTCCGAGTGGAGCAGGCCGCGGGCGTTCCACACGACCAGGTGAAGTCCCCGAAAGCCATGCCGTGCGCCAGGAGGACGCCACGGCGCCCACAGTGGGCTGCTAAATCCACTCGGTGTTGTCCTCCGTGGAGAAGGCCTTCTTGAACTGCGTGTTGATGGACTCCCTGTCGATGTGCAGCCTGGCGACCATGTCTGTGTTCCACCTGATGATGGTGTCGGTGTTGCGGGATTCTCCCATCTCGAGCTTGGCAACCTTGACGCCCTGGGAGGTGACGATACCACGGGCCCGCTGAGCACTGAAAGACTGATCAGGAAGAGCTTCTGCCAGCAAGACCGAGAGCTTCCTCGACTGGATCTCCATTCGTACTTGCTGCGGTGACTTGTCAGGCGAGAGGTACAGCGGGACGACGCCTCCGCCGACGCTCTGCGCGCTGAAGGAGCGCCACCCGTTCCTGCCAGCTGGGTCACGTAGATGCCGTGCGAGTGCTTGGGCCCGAGGGAGAGCGACTCCGTCGCCGCCCTGCACCATGACGTTGAAGCGCTTGGCGGGGACCGCAGGGTCGATGCGGACCATGTCGTTAGTGAGGCCAGCCGCTCGAATCCACTCCTCCAATCCTTGGAGAGCTTGGGCGGGCCCAACCAACTGCGGCGCCCCAACCGAGAAGATCCGTGGGTTGGGCTGCCGAGACCAAGCCTCCAGCTCCTGAAAGTCCGCGATGGGCAGCTCCTTCTCGGCGAGGGCCAGGGCCTTGTTGATGTCCCCGATATGCTTGCGCATGGCGGCCTGCTCCGCCTCCAACGCGTCGGCGCGCTGACCGATGGAGGCGATGTCGCGAGTCTGCACGGCGAGGGACCTGTTGACTGCCTCCTGCTGGGTCTGGAACATGCGCACCAGCTGCGTCTGGCAGGAGGTGACCTGGGCCATGGAGGTCGCGGCGATGGCATCGGTGGCCTGGCGAATGCAGCTCTGCAGCATGGCCTGCATGTCGATGCCGCCAGCGTCCACAGGAGTGGCCATCCCACCGACAGGAGTGCCAGCAGCAGGCAGCTCAGTGTGTCCAGCAGCGGGGGCGGCGCGATCATGCCAAGGGTCCCCGCCAGGGCGTTGCCACGGGTCGGGAGGAGCATGTTGAGGTCCAGCTTGTTGGGGTCCAGCGGGCGCTTGTTCCACTTGCGTGGCCTGGCGCTCCTGCGTGGGGAAGGTGGCCGCCGCCTCAATAGCGGTCACGAGCTCGTCCTGGGCGGCGCGATCGAGTCCTCCGAGTCCTGGGCGCTCACGGTCACTGGCCTGCGATCCCGAGGCATCCGCCTCGCCGTCGGAGCGAGGGTGGCCACGACGAGCCCGTCGGCGCGCAGGGGCACGCTCGCTCGTGCTGCGAGAGGCCGAGCGCAGGTCCTCGGCTGGAGGCTGCTCCTTGCCCTTGCCGCCGCGCCTCCGACCGTCAGCAGCACCAGGGCCACGATGGCCGCCGCCAGCACGACCCGTCCTGCGCCGCTCCTCATCGGCCGCCATGCGCTGCTGGAGAAAGCCCTCGCGGGCGCAAAACTGTGGGTCCTCGCGGACCAGACTTTGGCGGCAGCTCGCCCTGGTTGTGGCTGCAAAGAAGTCCCCACTCCTGGCCGCGGCACAGCGGTATCCATTTGGACGCCGCTGCGCGCCAGGACATCTTGAGCCAAAATGGCTACGGAGGAGGAGGAGGAGGAGGAGGGGGTGGAGCGTGACCGAGGCGACTCCGTTCCTGCTGACCTACCCGACTGCGACCTACCCACGCGCCTGCACCACGATATTGTCGAGGCGCGCGCGTCCAAGGAGGTGCCGTTGCCTGCCTCTTGTCGGTAGCCGACTGGCAAGGCGGACCGCATCGATGCTCCCTGCAGCTTGGACAGCCGAGAGGGGCAACGACGATTGGCGAGCAACACTACGATAAGCGTGATATAAGGAAACGGCTAACGCAAGCGAGCCTCCACAGAGGCCGAGGGTGAAGAGAGGACCCGAAGGGAGAAAGGAATGAAGGGACATAGAGGCAACCCATTGGATGCGGAAATCGAGAACATAATGTGAGATGGCATCAAGAGCACTCGGGCACCCGAAAACTCACGCGTTGCACAGCCTCTGCATTCGCTTATTCGTAATCCAGCACCCCAGCCAGCTGTGAAGTGCGATCAAGCTCCACGCCATCGGGGCGATACTCAATAGCGACTGCAGCTCCGCCTCAAGTTAAAACTTAAAATGTGATTCAAGTGCTTACGAACTCTAGTCCTGATCCTGCACGCGAGGCTCTCTGGGACAAAAAGCGCTCGGTCGAAACTCCCCTAAACGCACCGTGCCACCGCGGACGTCGACGCTCTCCCACAGGGACGCTTGCCCGAAAAAAGCCCGACCGCATCTTCTAGCCACATCCGTCGGCATGGCAACCCGACGTCGGACACCTGGGCTGCCCGCGGTTGAAAAGTGCCATGTCTCTCTCTTCTGTATCCCTCATGCGATGGGCTCTCCTCACCCTCAACACGTGGCGAGTTCGGATTGCGAGGCTTCGTCGTGCGATCGTCGGTCGAGGACCTGCCGCGTGGTGGGATGGGGACAAGCTCGCCCCTGATTCCTGGGAATCGCCCTCCTGCCCCCCCGCCCCCCCAGGAGGAGGAAGAGGAGGAGGAGGAGGAGGAGGAGGAGGAGGAGGAGGAGGAGGAGGACAGCGAGCCCCATCCAGCAAAGGCAGTCCGTGGCAATCTGTTGCGGGGCCCTTCACGGCCTACCTGGCCACGCTCGATCGGTTGGGAATTCAGGCCGACGGTTTTAGTTCTTGGATTTTCCCCTGGGGCCTCACTATACAGCCGGCCACCTTTTGCGTCCATGGGCTAAGGAAGCTCAGCGACTTGGCCTGTGAGGCCTGGCAGTGGAAGCAGATCAGCACCACGCTTGACTGCCCCGAGCTCAAGTCAGGCATCTTGCTCGAGCCAGTCCTCAGTCTGCTCGGTCGCTCTTCGCCGCTGTCGCCTGACGAAAAGGCCTATCTTCGTTCCGTCGTCATCGGTGCCCAGTGGACGCAGCAGCGCATGTTCGAGGCTAAATATGTGCAGTCCCCGCTCTGCCGTATCTGTCATAGTTTCCCTGGCACGTTGTATCACCGTCATCTGTTGTGTGATGGGTTGGTCTCTGCCAGCTTGCAGCCCGCGGGCCCTCTCCGTCGTGTCCTGCCGCAGGAACCCACAGAGCTCGCGCAGTTGCTTGGCAGCCGCGTGCTGCTTCCGTTCGACAGGTTCACGCAGCGGCCAGAGCCCGCGCCAGAGCAGTTCTACTTTGGTGAGCGTAGCTTGCTCACTGGGGATTTGTTCGTTGACGGCTCCATGTATGATCACGATGTGCCCAATGCTGTTGTCACTGGTTGGGCTGTCATTGCCATGCATCCGGATCCTCCTCCTCCGAGGGCGCTCGACGATTTTCGTGTTTCGGTTGTCTTCGGAGGCGGAGTCGAGGGCCCGATTCAGTGCATTGATCGTGCTGAGCTGGTGGCGGTTTTGAACACTCTCAGAGTTGCCATGCCACCCGTCACCATCCATACTGACCGTGAATTTGTTTTCTCAGGCGTTGTCAAGCGTGGGCGGGAGGCATGCTGTGCTTTGCTCTCTGCCCATGCTGACGTCTGGGAGCTTTTCTGGACAAAGCTGGAGGACTGGGGTGGGGTCGGGCCCGCATCCGTCACGTTTGTCAAAGTCAAGGCCCACCCCACCACAGAGCAGCGCCGCTCCATTGACCCACGCCTTCTCGCGGGCAATCGATTTGCCGACGAGTGGGCGAAGAGGATAACGGGTCTGGGGCGCTTAGATTTCGAGTTCCGCGATCGGTGTCGGAAGTTTTCGAGGCTTGTGCGCGCGGTGGGTGAGCAGGTAGGCAGGGCTGCTCCCCTCGCGGCCACCGACACCGAGCGCCTCACGGCGTCCCAGATGAAGGCGGCTCGCGCCGCGCGGCGCCAGGCCAGCGAGCTAGCCGCCGCCGCCGCCGCCGCCGCCGCCGCCCTCGCCCCACCTCCGAGCGCCCCCCCCCCGTCGTGTCGTTCTCGCTGGGGGGGCACGCTCTGAGAAGGTGGGTCAGCGAGGAGCGTGGCGACAATTCGGGCGGTGTCGTTTGTGTTAAGTGTGGGGCCATGTGCACCTCGCACGTTGTGAAGCTGGGCCAGGTCTGCGGGCGTCCCTCGGCTTGGGGCAAGAGGGTTCTCAGAGGCCTTGACCAGAGGAAACTGTTTTTTCGAGGCCGCTGGATCTCGGTTCAGCTTGGTCCTCTTGTTCCTGAGAGCTCGGAGGTGAACTGATCTCGAGCTGTGTACAGCGGTAGGGGGCAGGCTCACTGACCCCCCGTTGTTGGCAATCTGTGTCGCAGAAGGAGGAGGAGGAGGGAGGAAAAGGGATGATGAGCAGAGAGAATAAGCGAGGAAAAGTGGAGGAGGGAGGAGGAAATGTTTGTACCCAACGCTCCACCGAACATCATGGGGGAGGGCCGCTGGCCGATACGCCCGACCGACACAAGCGAAATACCCCAGCTGCCCCAATGACTCAGGAGCCAAGCCCTCCTGTGAAGTCCAGCCAGACTCGCCCCAACGATGGACCTTTCCAAAGCCCTTTCTGGACTGGCTCTGTCGAAGACTTGCCAGACGGCCACACACAAACGCGCGACTGCGAGTCTACCCAACCGTGGTCTTGCTCGCGCGCCGCTCAAGCTGGCCAGCAGGTAGGGTGTCGTTGTGGGTGTGCGTGCCAGGGCAAGCGTGACTAATTAGCTATCAAC